TGATTAATTGAATTAGTCTCGATTACCATAGTTTATACTGTTGTCTGTGTCTTACCCTCTAGAGTTGCCTTGGAGTTTGTGGGTAACCTTCTATCCTCATTGAGTTCCAACTCTGATATTAAGGGTGTCGTCATGTCTTGGACTGATTCACTGTGTCCATTAAAAATACTTCCACCAGGAAGCCTCAATGTCAGTGAGCAGTCATTGTTTGGGACTGGAACATCACAATTAGTACTTCCATTGCTGGTTACTTCCTCTTCAAGTTCAAAATAATGATTGCTGCTTTTTTGTTTATCACACTTGTTCTCCAACTTCTTGTTTCCTTCATTGAGAACAGCACTGAAACTCTTCAAACTTACATCATAATGCTCATAAATTGCAGATGGTGGAAATGCCACCATGTTTGATACTTCTCTGGGTTTTCCAAGTAACACAAGGATGTCATTGGTGTATCCAGGAAGGAAACAAATTCCTTTAGGTTTTAAATGTGGATCCAGAGTAAGGAACTCTCTGTTTTCCACCAAATTAGTTTTCTCTGTGGTGTCTGATGTGCTTAATGTGTAGAAATGAAGTTTGTTTGAGCAATGGCTTCCAACCACAACTGTCTTTGTTGTACTCTGAGGAAAAAAAGATACCAAGTGTTAATTCAGGTACCAATGATACTTTGTAATTTTCGGTACATTTTTAGCTTAAAATCTTAATCTTCTGCAGGTACATATATCAATACTTTATGTGCCTGCAAGAGCTGTACATGTAGATAACTGGCCTGACATTATTTTATACATTCTTAGCTGAGCTTCTGGCAGGGTAAAGGAAATAAATAAAAATTGCACAGGATTTTAGAGGCAAATTGTGAGGGAAAATCATAGATTGTATCCATAATTGAGCAATATTGCAAAACCTTTGATTTGCAGTCATTTTTTCCCTTTTGTCTTTTGTCAGGGGTGGGGCTTCCATAGAAAAATTGTGTGAAAATGTCCATACTTCTTTAATCCTTAAAAATGGAGGGAGAATCACTCACATAGAATGAGCTTCTGCTTGAAGGTATTTCAAAACTGACTCATGGCAGTGATAGTCACATGTATTAACAGTCAGGAGACAAGCTGTGCATCAGATTTCTGAGAAACAGATCTTTACCTAAATGTGATGAGCATTTCTGCCGACTAGGTTGTCATCATTTAATTTACTATCATTAACAACAGTTCTCATCAGAACTACCTTTGGCCTGTAACTCTGTTTTTTACACCATTACTAAATGAAGATTAAATATTGTTAAATTGAATTTAACATAGTTAATGACTAGGAGCAAATCTGGTCTGTTGCATTTGGCTGGCGTATTGTTAGCGTATTAGCACTCTATTAGTGTTTGCCTGGCATTTGTGTGCGTTCTGTAGCGTTGTAGCAACATGGTAGCTGTTGGTGGCCTGGGGCCGGCTGTGTCCAGTGGTTACCTTTGTCTGTACATGCATTGGTTCTTCCATGTGCTTGCATTGTGTTAGCCGTGCGATAGCATGGCGTCATCGTGTGACTGCGGTTGCAGCCCCCAGCCCCTTGAGCACCTGACCTCCATTTGCGACTTGGGTGTTAAATATGGCTTAAAAACTCAGATCACCGTTTTTCATTTAAATTAAAGACATATTCAGTAATCACTTAATCAACTAGGTGCAGTGCTCAGCACCTGCCATTAACTATTTTTCATTTTGATAATTTCTTACAAAGTAACCTTTTGACAAATTACAACTACTTCTGGTCTATCATCTTATTAGTTGAGCCAGACTCATTAGCCTCAGTGTTTTGAAATTGATGCCAAAGTTGGTGCATGCAGCACATCAATCCTTTACTGTGTCATATATTATCATAGGAGAATACAAACCTGAAACAACAGCAGATCAGGAGAAACAAGTCCTTTTATACTGGTCCTACAGACTTCTCTTGGCTTCACGTCTTCACAACATAAAGCAATGATTTGTGCAAATCTGTCAGAGGCTTCAGATTGTGGTTTCTTTAGCTTCAGGTATAATAATGAATTTTTACCTTGATCAACACATTTAGCAAGAATGGTAAAATCAAAATCTTCTGAAGAAGCAATGGAAGTGCCACTAGAATCAGTGCCTTTGTTTCCATCAAAATCTTGAAAATTTTCTGTCTCAAAAAGATCACCATCCTTTTCAATATTACAACATAGCCTATCCAGAGGAAGTTCTGTAGCAATGATGAATGATGACCTTTCCCAAGGAACAATGCAATTTATTTTACCAACCACTTGGAGACTGTTCCACTGTGTACAAGTAAAGTGATTAGGTTTGCTTGGGTCTCTCCATGAAAATATACTCAAACTGTCCTCTACTGCTACAGCAAGACTTCTTCCATCCTTACTCCAAGCACAGGTGTGTAAATTTCTAAAAAACCAGATGAATGACAGGTAAAAATAAGAGCATCATGAGTGGTGAGTGGTTCCTTGCCATGTCATGTTTGGTTGTTTAAACCCTTTATGACCTTAACATCAATTGCATAATCACCATACTCTTTTCTACATACTGTCAAACCCTGTATTAAGCTATTACCCACAGGGAATGACAGGGTTACTACCTAGTACAGATTGACTGCTAATTCAGGTTCCACAAAATAGGGGTCAAAAGCAATAAAATCCGTTATTTTGTCCTAACAGTCCTAAGAAGAATGATAATCTGCAATACCTTAAGGACATTCAAACTCAAAGTGCTAACATTGATTTCAGGAGATAAATATGAAATAAATTGACTTGCAAGATCATTTTTAGTTTTATTTGAGAGATTCTACTATAAATGAACATTCAATACAGGTGGAAAAAAAAAACCAGCCATTGGGACTCAGTTTAAGGTATGCACTACCACTTAATAGAGGTGAAAATTACAGTACTTAAAGAAAAATATTTTTGGGACTTTGACAACCAACAATTTAAAATGGGGTAACCATTAAATATAATAACATTTAATACAGGTTAGACTGTCTTTCCCTTGGTGCTGACTAGGAGAATTTGTTTAACAATCCAAGCTTCTTCGGTTGGTGATCACTCTTTACTCATGATTTTAATTATTATTATACTACAGTAAGAGAAATAAGAAGCTGGTCACTCTTAGGGTTAAGTACATTTAGTTTCCAGTAATTTTTTTAGCATTGTTGTTGCTGATCTTATTTTATTTGTTGCTATTTTTAACTTTTTCCTTTTCAGAAAGAAGAATGCTATTGACATCTTCAGAATCCCTGCAAGAAAATCCTGCTTGGTCATTTGATCAGCTTAGCCGTCAGTAACGAAGCCAAACACACAAAAAAAGCCTTTCAAGAATTTTCTAAGTTTTTGACAATTCTATGGCAATTCAAGCTCAGAATAACCATCAGCTATATTCATGGAATCCCCTCAGTCTGTTGCTGGTCAATATTTCACACTGCAGTACACGGTACACTGTGATTTTCAGGTTACGAGTTGTATATAATTATAATTAAGTTTATGGTAACTATTTTGTTATCTTGCAGTATAAATTAACGCTTTCTTCTCTAATGCCAATGGATTTATATACAGCTTACCTGTGTGAAGTTTGTATTGAGATGACATTGCAATCGTGTTCTTCCGAAAAACATAATAATACCGCCGATGTTTTGGAGAGCACAGAAAGCATTGGAATATCAGGATGCCACTCAGAACCTCGAGGTAAACATTCCACAAAGTAATCTTTCACCAGGGTGACGAAAGCTTCCCCGATCTTTCTCCACAGAACAACAATTTTTTTCTTTAGAACAACTGCAATGTAATATCCAGTAGAATCTCTGATCAGCGCACTGCATGATATTCCTATAACAAGACTTTCGAATTCTCCAACTAGACAGCGTTCCTGTGCTAAAAAATCCTCTCCTTCCCATTTGCGGGTAAATTTCATTAATGACAACCACACTCTTTCTCCATCAGTCCATACTAGTTCACCTGACTGTTCATTTCCGCTATTTTTGTAGTAAATTTGAATCACTTGGTGTAAATAATCGGCATTTGATCTCAGCAACTTGCATTTCCCGAACTCAAACTCTGCCGCCATGGTTGGCAAGGATTCCCATCATGCCCAGCGAGCACACACCTCAGACTGGTGGCGATTGACCTAATACCCCGGCACAGGAGTTTGCCTCATTTGGAGTTGATTGAGTTTTGAAAATTTCGATGTAAAATTAAAGTGCGGCTTTTATTCGAGGTTGGAGTCAAATCATTTGTAAACATCATATCAAACAGAAACATAATTTAGCCGAGTCTCATTTTTCAGGTAAGGTAGAAGCGTAATTGTTTGGCTTTTTATATGCAAAACAGGATAGCTCAGACTAACAAGTTTAACTGTCTTTCAATTTTTTTCCTCATAGTCCTGAAATAAACGCGCGTTCTTCCAATGGGGTACTGCATTTATTTCAGCGGCGTTCATTGGTAATTGTACATCCATCAGCATCAAGGGCGGCGTTTATTAGAAGTGGCGTTAAATCGAATTGTTATGATGATTACTTTGGGGTGACAAGCATTTGAAGCACTCACGGCTGTTCTCTCGCAGCTTTGTCGCTAATAAGGCAAGGGTCGCACCTAGGAAAAGTTTTCAACAACGGGAAAGGGAAACTTCTTTAGTCAAACAAGTAGAGTCGCACTTAACAGATTTAGAACTGAAGCACACCGGGAAGATCTTAAAAGGGGAACCTCGATCAGGGTGCTACCTCTTCAGAGACAGGATGGATTCCTTCGCTTACTGATAGCCTCTCAATTGACGAAGAGACCGGAGAATTGGCTAAATATTGATGCACATGTTACTTGTGTCAACGTCTTTATGTGCAAGCTTCAACAGTCTCGTAACACGCTCTTACTATGGTTACATACAGAATGACACAAATTTGACGCGAATGACGCCACTTTTTGTCTCCATAGTTACAGATGACGTCAGGAATCATTTCTAGTTTCCAACGAGGATTTCTGGAGCTTCTCTCAGTCGCCGGAAGGGCATCGTTGGTCATGACGCATCTAGAATCAATTTCGCTTATTCGCTCCTTTTCTACTATTTTTCTCTTCTCCATATCTCTGACAACGCAGCAAATTGTTAGAGATTCTGCCGATGGCATAAGCTTCGCAAATTTTGCCAGACACGAAAAGCAAAGACTGGATACCAACCAGCTTCAGTCCAGCACTGCCAATGAGTACACAGAATGCTTAGAGAGATGTTTGGTTCACGAAAGCTGCACATCACTCAATTATGGTGGAAATGGGGGTGCCGAGTGTCAGCTATTGGAGGCTAACAAGCACGATTCTCCTGAAAAGATGAAGTTCGATGAGACATTTGTGCATTTCTCGATAAAGGTAAGAGAAAGTTTGGCCCATTTTAAGCGTTTTGAATAATAACCAAACATCACAAGTTTATAACCTCTTTATAATATCTTGCCAGACATGATTTTGCTACATTTTACTCCAATATGAACCTCTACGAACTTTTTTTTCGAAGGACCAAATGGGCAGAAATAAAGTCAACAAATTTTAAATTTAGAATAAGAAAGATTGTAAAATTGGAACATAGTTAACAAATAGAGAAATATGTTTTTCGTCTTGTCACGAACGTGGGACAAAGAAAAAATTCTGTGTTCCAATGAGGAATCGAACCGCAGACCATCGGAATCCGCACTCCGATGTTCTACTTCTGAGCCAAAGAGACTCTATGGTGAACAAGGTCCATTACGAAGTTAATATACATGACAAGCGTCCTGTTTGCCGCTAGGATCAGCGATGTCGATAGCGTCATGTTTGTACACAGAATTAGAAATATGCTAAGTTTTGAATCGGAAGGTCTGAGGTTCGATTCCTCGTGGGGAATCAGAATGTTCTTTCTTTCAGTCCCACGCTCGTGACACGAAGAAAAACATCTTCTCTAAATACAAAAATTTCTTCACGGCTTTGCGGAAAATTTAGAAAGTACTTATTTAAATATAGTCATGCATATCAGCTTGGAACTCATATCAGTTTTTCTCAAATTCGAGTTTTATATACCTACTTTCCTTTTTCCAAAAAAAAATATATATATATATATGTGCATTGCACTTAAAGAAAATAGTTCTCAAAACATTCAGCAACACATCAGCTCTAAAGAAGGTTCAATTTCAGTTATTAAAGGAACTTGAATGAACCACGATAAGAGCCTTAATAAGTTATCTTTAAAAGGTAACTGAATACTTCACAGCTGCTAAGTTGCAAATTTAAATCTTACCCCTATTTATACATTGAATTCTAACTTGAAAGGTTTAAATATTTAATATGTTTACCAGTTTTACCGCAAAATTAAAGAGGAATTCTCAGAAAAATTTAATTAAAAAGTTTTAAGATCTGGTCATTAGCGTAAGATAAATGATATAAAAAACGAGTGCTGCCCTAATTACTTAGCAAGACGCTCCTGTTTCACTTCAATCGCAAAGCGTTAGTCTAACCAACTCTATCATTTCATTATTTTTACAAAATCAACGGTCTGCATCGATAGATAACAAACAAAGATCACCTATTCAAAAGACATGGTGACATCTTCCTCAAGTCAATTCAAAGTCAAAAGAAAAATTTCTAGTTAAACTTTTTTGGACCCTTTTGGTGAAGAATATTAATTACTATTAACTTTTCGAGCTAGCCGATCGGCGCACACGAGAGCACTTAACATCCGTGTGGTATATAATAATCGCCAGATACTTAGACCTTGTGGCCGATGTGATTAAAGCCTCCCAATAAGTTGAAAGAGCATTTATAGCTATTGCTATCGAAAAGTAGACAAACTTATTTGTTTTAAAAAAAGTCGCTTTGTAAAGTCAAGCCTTGTACTGCTTCGCCTGCTTGGAAATAGCGAACTTAGTGGTTTTTGAACGCTAAAATGTTGAGATTAAGGCCTGAAAGAATATTTAAGTGGCTGTAAAGATGCAAAATTCTTGTTATACATTAATTTCCTGTCTCTGTTACAGAGCCCTTGCGACAATAAACCATGTTTATGTTCATCGCCCGCGGTGGACCTCTACTGTCGTCTTCAGTTATAAGCCTTCTACTGTTAATGCCTAAATAAGAAAGTGGCGAACTGAGTAGTTTTTGAACACTGAACTGTTGGGATTTAAGCCTGTGATTAGAATTTAATGGTTATAGCAATGCAGAATTCTTGTTACGCTTAAATTGCCTGTCTTTTCTGCAGAGCCCTTGCGACAATAAACCATGTTTAAACAGAGAAAACTGTATCCCAGACTACCAAAAAGATACCTACCGATGTCGTTGCCCTTGGCAATACAAAGTTTTGAAAAACTGTCAAAAAGGTGAGGTCATTTGGTTTTTCTTACAAAAAATAGTTTTTAAATAGTTTTTAGAAGTGAAATTTGTCTTCTAGGCGTTTGCTAATGAAAGAAAAAAATCTCAGAACTCTTCCATATTTATAAGAAAAATATGTGTATTCCGCTGGTATAAATACCCCACCCCACCCCCGGCAAAGTTCAAATTTCCCACCCCTGGGGCGCGGACGACAGTCAAATACCCTCTGGGTTACCTTAGAGGGGGGAGGGATGTTGAAACTTCAAATAGATCGACTTACTTATTTTTAACTACTTGATTACTGAAGTTACAATTGGCTTATCAGTACATGCAGGATAAATAACCGAAGACTCTGAAAACCATGTGAGTCACAGATAAAAGTAAAGACCTTATGTGGTATGCAAACGAGTGTAAGCAAACTTTACGACGCGCCCGAGGTGGGAAGGTGTATGCTCTTAACCCTTTTACTCCCATGAATGACCAAGACAGAATTTCTCCTTACAATATTAATAGAGTATCAGGCAGCCAAGTGATGAGAATGAAGAAAAATATCAATTACGGGATTATCAGTTGATCCAGTACCTAATTCTCCAAACTAATATCATAGGAGTTATATGTAAACAGTTAGGAGAACTACTAATGAGATCCTGAGAGTGAAAGAGTTACGGCATCTATTACTGGAAACATAAAGGATATTACCATAGGATCGACGGATTTGATTGAACCTTTGAGCTACCATTACAAAAGTTGTACTTTTTCAATTCAAATTAGCCAAGGGGAGAGTCATACACATCCCTGGTGTTTCAGCGTGTTTCATTGTTTGCACTCGTAGGTCGAATCCTTCCGTCCGCCGATGGAGACTGGATAGCCTTCTGGTGGTATGACGTTGGTACCACGTGGCCGTCAAATGAAAAAGACGTCCTTGCTTACGAATTTGGTTACTGCGAGCCACGTGATCCGTACTGCTTTAGTCGGCTCCCTGCAGATTCTAAAGCAGATCTCACTGAAATGCTTGCAGTTGACTCAGAAGGTACCGCGTACAAGTGGAATTTCAGTTCTAACGCTTCAGCTACCAGTGCAGCTTGGCGGGCGTTTCATGATCACAAGGAGGTAAACCGAGGAGAGAGCGTAGGCGTACTTGCATGGAATCCAGAAGTGCTGAACGGTAGCGAGCCGAAAGATGACCAACGTGCATTCATGTACCGTGAGCAGAATGGAGTCAAGTCGGTGCTGTTGGATGACGATTACTGTGATTGTCATTCAACCCTAAGTCTCGGACACGGTATGTGTCTATCTAATCATAATCCTGTTTATTCTGACGTCAACAGTTTTGGCGTGGATGCACTTTATGATCCCGGCTGTCACGGACCAAGATCAGGTATTGGTCTGACGCTGTATGTCCGTAGAAAAACTCTCAAATAACACTCAACATCAAACAAGCTGCCCCTCATGGCCTCAGTAATTTTCAAGCTCGTGGTGCAGTTGATAATCTGTCTCAAATTTTCGCTTCTTGTAGGCGGAGTATCGATGTGTGAGCATGCTACAAAAAATTTTCCTTAGTTATTCAAGTTGGTCAGATGTAATCTGTTTCAGTCTTCTCCATCTTCGATAATTATAATTTTTCTTTATTACATTCATTTTTGTTACTTATAGAGCCCTTTTAGATTGAGTGTTGTAAAACCAAAATTACAACAATTGCAATGCAACTTTTATTGCTTCTTCATTTCTGACACAATACAAGAATTGCAGCTTGATGCAGGAGACTGGAGCACGTAGTTCTGACCATCTAACACGTATATTAAAGAGTCTGTCATCCTGATTAAAACTGTATATAGTTTGATACAAAGTGAAGTGAAGTCATAAACTTGTGATGGATCCTTGAAATTTTTAGCCCTGGAGGTCATATTCCAACACTATGACCCCTACTGGCGAGCGTAAGTTTTGAGGTCTTCAACACTTCTTGAAACAACTGTTATAGTCGCTTTGAAACTCATCAGAAGATATGTCATTTTTAGCATCAGAAGCTTGTAATACTGCATGCTTCTGTCGTTATATATCGTTGCTTACCATCAAGAGATCATGAACTACGACCTCTTGATAGGTAATTCAAGATAGACTGCAGAAGGGACCGATCTACCATAAGATTATACAACAGAGTTCAAACTTTGCAAGCTGTAAACAATTAAAATGAATAAAATGATTGCATTCTTTGGCACGTGAAAGAGCATCAGTTTGTTTCTTAAATTTTCCTGTTATGTAATTGTATTCCGCTGGCATTTAGTTTTGTTTCTTAACGACAAGAAAGATAAATATGAATGAGTGAGATCTGTCAAAAGAATGCAGGTGCAAGATGCTGCTGCTCATGTAATTATTCAAGTCCTATTGATACCAGTTATAACCGTAGTCAAACGAGTAGTGTCGCACTTGACAAATTTTGAATGATCACCAGGAGGTAGATCCTGGGGAGAGCGTAGGCAGCAAGTGTTGAACGGTAGCGAGCCGAAATATGACCAACGTGCATTCATGTACCGTGAGGAGAATGGAGTCAAGTCGGTGCTGTTGGATGACGATAACTGTGATTGTCAGTCAACCTTAAGTCTCGGACACGGTATGTGTCATTATGGTTCTAGATCCGCTAGCGTCAACTGTTTTGGCGTGGATACTCTATATGACCCATCCTGTCAAAGCCCAAGATCAGGTATTGGTCTTACGCTGTATGTCCGCAGAAAAACTCCTAATTAATACTCATCATGACTAAATGATAACCTCTACGTATTTTCTTCAGTAACTTAGAAGCAAACTATTTATTTCAAATATTCCATTTAAAAGACATGGATTCTTTTAATTCTTTCACACCCAATATTTGATTGTTAATTCTCCCCTTTAGCACCAACTCATTTCTTTGTAAATTAGCAACAGGAATTTGGTGTTGGATCAAAATAAAAACTTCTACTTGATGACAACTTTTGAGTATGGGAGTATACGATGTTGTTACTTGTTGATCACTTGTGGGAGTAAACCAGGAGCCCATTAGTAAACCGATTAAGCGATAAAGCAGTTCAAAGTATTCCTATCTATTTCTTCAGTAACTTATAAGCAAACTATTTATTTCAAATATTCCGTCTAAAAGACATCGATTATTTTAATGCTTTCACACCCAATATTTGATTGTTAATTCTCCCCTCTAGCAGCAACTCATTTCTTTGTAAATTAGTAACGGGAATTTGGTGTTAGATCAAAATAAAAACTTCTACTTGATGACAACTTTTGAGTATTCTCATTATATTTGTTTCCTGGATAATGTGTAAATGCTATAGGATGTATCTACTTGTTGACAACTTTTGGGAGTAAACTGATTAAGCGATAAACCTGTTTAAAATACCCCCATTTATATTCCTTCACCGTATACATCTTTGATTTTCATCTGCATGGTCACACTTGTTATTTGGGTATTTTCTTTTTCCCACCCAACGTTGAAATTTTTCTTACCTCTGAAGGACTTATTCCAACACTTCGACCCCTACGAATGAGAATAAGTTTTTTCAGGTCCTCAACACTTTTGAAATCAACTGTTATTTGTGTCCCATCGGGAGATGTGCAATTTCCAAAACCAAAAACAAAAAAAAATGAAAAAATGAAGCAACCGACACATTCCAAAACCGTATCAGAAAAAAACATCACAGTGGATAACTACTCAGAACAAAAAGAGACAAAGGAAAGAAGAAGATAAATATAATGATAATAAGAAAAAAAAAAAAGAGAAAAGACAGCAAAAACAAAATGCAAATTCCACGGGGAGGAGTTACTCGGCCCCCAAGCCAGTTTGAGAGTTACTCCTTGTCCGCCAGTTCCAAATCATACTCGGGGAGAAGTTATTCGGCCCCCAAGCCAGATTAAGAATAACTCCTATAGCGTGATTCGAACCAGCGACCTCGATGACCTCTCTAGCACTCGTTGCGCGCCCACGACTACCGCTCGACCATCTGGAAACTACATAATTAATAAGGATAAATTGTCGGTGTGAAGAGTTTTTTAATACTGGGTCGGTGGGAGGGGGGGGAGAGTGAGGAAGTTTCTCTGACTGAGAGTGAAGTGGTGCGTTTCTGGTCAAGAATAAAGGAAACGAATCGCACAAAGAACTAACAGAAGCGATAGAAACGAAGAATATTAGCAAATGTTTTAATGGTGAACGGCTTCAGAGAAGCTATTCTTTATCAAGTATGTGCGTTTGGACAATGTAACACACCAGGTAACACGCATTCTTATCTCTATGGACGCATTTTTTATACATACATTTCTTTCACTTTATGTTTACTTCAGACTTCTATGTTTTTGTTTGACAGCGGATTCTTCGTAAGACAGGAGCACGAAGTTCTGACTTTATAACACATAAATTAAAGAGCCTGACATCCTGCTTCGTACTTCTTTATACAAAAACTTCAACAATCTCGTACGTGGTCTCCCTATGGTTAGATACAGAAAGACAACAATTTGACGCGAATGACGCCACTCTTTTGTCTCTATAGTTACAGATGACGTCAAGAATTATTTCTAGTTTCTAATAAGAATTTTCGGAGCTTCTCTCAGTCGCCAGATGGGCATCACTGATCATGACGCATCTGGAAGCAATTTCGATGATCTGCTCCTTTTCTACTATTTTTCTCTTCTCCATATCTCTGACAACGCAGCAAGTTCTTAGAGATTCTGCCGATGGCATAAGCTTCGCAAATTTTGCCAGACACGAAAAGCAAAGACTGGATACCAACCAGCTACAGTCCAGCACTGCCAATGGGTACGCAGAATGCTTAGAGAGATGTTTGGTTCACGAAAGCTGTACATCACTCAATTATGGCGGAAATGGGGGTGCTGAGTGTCAGCTATTGGAGTCTAACAAGCACGATTCTCCTGAAAAGATGAAGTTCGATGAGACATTTGTGCACTTCTCGATAAAGGTAAGAGAAAGTTGTGCCCATTTTAAGCGTTTTGAATAAGAACCAAACATCACAGAATTATAACCTCTTTATAATGTCTTGCCAGACATGATTTTGCTACATATTGCTATCAACCTTTACGAACTTTTTCTGATGACCAAGTAGGCGAAAATATAGTCAACAAATTTTACATTTCTTTCGGACTTTTCAGGAAAAGAAGAGAGTACTTTTCTAAATAAAGTCTTATTAAAGGGTTAAATTCAAATCACTTTCGAAACCGCATCAGTTTGCTTAAATGCGATTTTTTTTATGCCATATTAATTGTACAAGCAAAAAGAAAAAAGCACCGTAAGTCAAAAATAGTTCTCAAAACATTAATCAACACATCACCTATGTAGCATGAACCACAATAAATGTCTTGATAACTTGAATTTAATAGGTATAAACTTCAATGTTTCTTAGCGCGGGGCAATTTCTAAATCTTTATCTTTTAAAAACCATTTATCAAAATTGAACTTTTTGAAGTTCAGTTTTACAAAAAGTCAAAGAGGAATTCTTAGGATAACATAAAGAGTCCTTAGCGTGAGATAATTTAAATGCAATGCCTGTGCTGCCCTAGTTAATAAACGAGCTTTACCTGTTTCACTTAAATCGCGAAACTTTTGTTTAAGTAAATCTATCACTCCTTAATTTTCCCAAAATTGATGACCCACAACGATTTCATCCAATGAAATCAACTTTTCTTTCAAAAAGTCACTCTGAAAATCAACATCTGTTTTCGACGGGACACTGTTTGTAAAAGTTTTATTGTGAGCTTATGAAAGACAATAGCTCAACATCCTCCATAAGGCATGAAAATGTGCTCTTCCATTTTTTCTTTGGACATAATCTGCTCCTCAAAGTTCACAGCTTCGTTCTCGGAAAATTAACTGTTCGCCTCTCTCGATTGAAAATATCCACAGACATCTATGCCTGCTTGTTTTCACGCCAAACTAAGGCTATTATTTATTCATGTGGTTTAGCGATTGAAGAAAATATGGAAGAGTTTCCTTTTTACCCCTCGGCCAAATGATCCCCAATCACCGTTTAACGAAAGGACATGAGTGTTTTTACAAAGCAGTGATGATTTGTTGAGATTTGTCTCGTCACCGACAAACGTATTGCACGTGAAACGAAAGCAAAAGTTTGTTTTGGATGGAATTGATAAACTGGGAAAAGGTGTCCGCTCCAGGAGGAATAATTTTTTGGTTTGTTTGGCAATCTGCTGAAGTAACTGGGGTCCATTCAATAAGTTTTGTTTTATTCATCGCCCGCGGTGGACCCCTACTGTCGTCTTCCGTTGTAAGCCTTCTACTGTTAATGCCTAAATAAGAAATTGACGAACTGATTTGTTTTTGAACGCTGAACTGTTGGGATTTAAGCCTGTGATTAGAATTTAATGGTTGTAACAATGTAGAATTCTTGTTACGCTTAAATTGCCTGTCTTTTCTGCAGAGCCCTTGCGACAATGAACCATGTTTAAACAGGGGGAAATGTATCCTAGACTACCAAAAAAATACCTACCGATGTCGTTGCCCTTGGGAATACAACGTTTTGAAAAACTGTGAAAAAGGTGAGGAAGAGTGGTTCAAGTTTCGTACAAAAAGAAAATAGTTTTTAACCGGCTGCTCTCGGTTCGTGTTTAATGCCAGGCGTACTTTTTTTTTAAGTACATGATCACTAAAGTTGAATTTGGCTTATTAATGCATGTAGAATTGATGAAAGAGGACTCTGAAAGCCATGTGAGTCATAACTTATAAGCTAAGACTTTTTGTGATAGGCAGACGAATGTAACACGGCTGAATTTTTCAACGCCCTTGGTGGGAAGGTGTAAGCTCTTTACCCTTTTACTCTTATCAGTAACCAAGACAGAATTTCAAGCAAGAATTTTAAGCAAACAAGTCATGAGAATAAAGAAAATATCATTCAGGGGATTAATAGTTGATTCAATAACAAATTATCTAAATTGACATTATAAGAACGGTATGGCAGACGATAGGGATAATTGCTGCGGAGATCCTGGGAGTTACAGGATTAAGGTATCATGTCACTGGAATCATGAAACAAATGCAGATGTTACCGTAAACTCGATAGATTCGATAAAAAAAACTTTTAAGCTATCGCTATGAAAGTTGTTACTTTTTCAAACCAAATTAGCCAAAGGGAGAGTCATACAAATTGTTGGCCAGGTTTAGTTACTTCTTCGTGGTACGTCTAGACTTTTTTCAGCGTCTTTCATTGTCTACAATCGTAGGTCGAATTCTTCCGTCCACCGATGGAGACTGGATAGCCTTCTGGTGGTATGACGTTGGTACCATGTGGCCCTCAGATGAAAAAGATGTACTTGCTTACGACTTTGGTTACTGCGAGCCACGAGCAACAGTTTTGGCGTGGATACTCTGTATGATCCCACCTGTCAAGGACCAAGATCAGGTATTGGTCTTACGCTGTATGTCCGCAGAAAAACTCTTAATTAACACTCGTCATGGCTAAATAACAACCTTTTACGTATTTTCTTCAGTAACTTATAAGCAAGCTATTTGTTTCAAATATTCCATTTAAAAGACAACGATTCTTATAATGCTTTAACACCCAATATCTGATTGTTAATTCTCCCCTCTATGGCTAGCAGCTACGCATTTCTTTGTAAATTAATTAGTAACGGGAATTTGGTTTTAGATCAAAATAAAAACTTCTACTTGATGACAACTTGATGAGTATTTTCATTATATTTGTTTCCCGGATAATGTGTAAATGCTATAAGATGTAGCTACTTGTTGGTAACTTCTGGGAGTAAACTGATTGAGCGATAAAGCTGTTCAAAATATCCCCATTTATATTCCTTCACCGTATGCATCTTTGATTTTCATCTGCATGGTCACACTTGTTATTTGAATATCTTCTTTTTCCCACCCAACGTTGAAATTTTTCTTACCTCTGAAGGACTTACTCCAACACTTCGACCCCTACGAATGAGAATAACCGTATCAGTAAAAATACCATAGTAGATAACTACTCAGAACAAAAAGAGAAAAAGGAAAGAAAAAGATAAATATCATGATAATTAGAAAAAAAAGTAAAAAGACGGTAAAATCAAAATGCAAATTCCACGGGGAGGAGTAACTCGGCCCCCAAGCCAGTTTGAGAGTTACTCCTTGTCCGCCAGCTCCAAATCATACTCGGGGAGAAGTCATTTGGCCCCCAAGCCAGATTAAGAATAACTCCTATAGCGTGATTCGAACCCGCGACCTCGATGACCTCTCTAGCATTCGTTGCGCGCCCACGACTACCGCTAGACCATCTGGAAACTACATAATTAATAAGGATAAATTGTCGGTGTGAAGAGTTTTTTAATACTGGGTCGGTGGGAGGGGGGGAGGGTGAGGAAGTTTCTCTGACTGAGAGTGAAGTGGTGCGTTTCTGGTCAAGAATAAAGGAAACGAATCGCACAAAGAACTGACAGAAGCGATAGAAACGAAGAATATTAGCAAATGTTTTAATGGCGAACGGCTTCAGAGAAGCTATTCTTTATCAAGTATGTGCATTTGGACAATGTTACACACCAGGTAACACGCATTCTTATCTCTATGGACGCACTTTTTATACATACATTTATTTTACTTTATGTTTACTTCAGACTTCTATGTTTTTGTTTGACATCGGAATCTTCGTAAGACAGGAGCACGAAGTTCTGACTTTATAACACATAAATTAAAGAGCCTGACATTCTGCTTCGTACTTCTTTATACAAAAACTTCAACAATCTCGTACGTGGTCTTCCTATGGTTAGATACAGAAAGACAACAATTTGACGCGAATGACGCCACTCTTTTGTCTCTATAGTTACAGATGACGTCAAGAATTATTTCTAGTTTCTAATAAGAGTTTCCGGAGCTTCTCTCAGTCGCCAGATGGGCATCGCTGATCATGGCGCATCTGGAAGCAATTTCGATAATCCGCTCCTTTTCTACTATTTTTCTCTTCTCCATACCGCTGACAACGCAGCAAGTTGTTAGAGATTCTGCCGATGGCTTACGCTTCGCAAATTTTGCCATACACGAAAAGCAAAGACTGGATACCAACCAGCTACAGTCCAGCACTGCCAATGAGTACGCAGAATGCTTAGAGAGATGTTTGGTTCACGAAAGCTGTACATCACTCAACAAATTTTAAATTTCTTTCGGACTTTTCAGGAGAAGTAGAAAGTACTTTTCTAAATAAAGTCTTATCCAAGGGCTAAATTCAAATTAGTTTCGAAACCGCATCAGTTTGCTTAAATGTGATTTTTTTTATACCATATTATTTATTCAAGCAAAAGAAAAAAAGTATCGTAAGTCAAAAATAGTTCTCAAAACATTAATCAACACATCACCTCTGTAGCATGAACCACAATAAATGCCTTGATAACTTGTATTTTATAAGTATAAACTTCAATGTTTCTTGGCGCGGGCCAATTTCTAAATCTTTATCGTTTAAAAACCATTTATCAAAATTGAACTTTTTAAAGTTCAGTTTTACAAAAAGTCAAAGAGGAATTCTCAGGATAACATAAAGAGTCCTTAGCGTAAGATAATTTAAATGCAATGCCTGTGCTGCCCTAGTTAATAAACGAGCTTTACCTGTTTCACTTAAATCGCGAAACTTTTGTTTAAGTAAATCTATCACTCCTTAATTTTCCCAAAATTAATGACCCACAACGATTTCATCCACTGAAATCAACTTTTCTTTCAAAAAGTCACTCTGAAAATCAACATCTGTTTTCGACGGGACACTGTTTGTAAAAGTTTTATTGCGAGCTTATGAAAGACAATAGCTCAACATCCTCCATAAGGCATGAAAATGTGTTCTTCCATATTTTCCTTGGACATAATCTGCTCCTCAAAGTTCACAGCTACATTCTCGGAAATTAACTGTTCGCCTCTCTCGACTGAAAATATCCACAGACATCTATGCCTGCTTGTTTTTACGACAAATTAAGGCTGTTATTTATTCATGTATTTTAGCGATTGAAGAAAATATGGAAGAGTTTCCTTTTTACCCCTCGGCCAAATGATCCACAATCACCGTTTAACGAAAGGACATGAGTGTTTTTACAAAGCAGTGATGATTTGGTGAGATTTGTCTCGTCACGGACAAGCGTATTATTCGTGAAACGAAAACAAAAGTTTGTTTTGGATGGAATTGATAAACTGGGGAAAGGTGTCTGCTCCAGGAGGAATATTTTTCTGGTTTGTTTGGCAATCTGCTGAAGTAAATTGGTCTCCATTCAATAAGTTTTGTTTTATTTATCTCCCGAGGTGGACCTCTAATGTCGTCTCCCGTTGTAAGCCTTCTACTGTTAATAACTAAATAAGAAATTGGCGAATTGGGTAGTTTTTAACGCTGAACTGTTGGGATTTAAGCCTGTGATTACAATTTGATGGTTGTAACAATGTAGAATTCTTGTTACGCTTAAATTGCCTGTCTTTTCTGCAGAGCCCTTGTGACAATCAACCATGTTTAAACAGGGGGAAATGTATCCCAGACTACCAAAAAAATACCTACCGATGTCGTTGCCCTTGGGAATACAACGGTTTGAAAAACTGTGAAGGTGAGGAAGAGTGGTTCAAGTTTCGTACAAAAAGAAAATAGTTTTTAACCGGCTGCTCTCGGTTCGTGTTTAATGCAAGGCGTACTTTTTTTTAAGTACATGATCACTAAAGTTGAATTTGGCTTATTAATGCATGTAGAATTGATGAAAGAGGACTCTGAAAGCCATGTGAGTCATAACTTGAAAGCTAAGACTTCATGTGATAGGCAGACGAATGTAACACGGCTGAATTTTTCAACGCCCTTGATGGGAAGGTGTAAGCTCTTTACTCTTTTATTCTTATCGGTGACCAAGACAGAATTTCAGGCAAGAAATTTAAGTAGACAAGTCATGAGAATAAAGGAAATATCAGGCAGGGGATTAATAGTTGATTCAATAACAAATTCTCTAAACTGACATTATAAGAATAGTATGGCGGATTATAGAGATAATTGCTGCGGAGATCCTGGGTGTTACAGGGTTAAGGCATCATGTCACTTGAGTCATGAAACAAATGCAGATGTTATTATAAACTCGATAGATTCGATAAAAAAACCTTTGGCTATCGCTATGAAAGATGTTACTTTTTCGAACCAAATCAGCTAAATAGAGAGTCATACAAATCGCTGGCCAGGTTTAGTTACCTCTTCGTGGTACATCCAGGCCTTTTTAGCGTGTTTCATTGTTTGCACTCGTAGGTCGAATTCTTCCGTCCGCCGATGGAGACTGGATAGCCTTCTGGTGGTATGACGTTGGTACCACGTGGCCGTCAGATGAAAAAGATGTCCTTGCTTACGACTTTGGTTACTGCGAGCCACGTGATCCGTACTGCTTTGGTCGGCTCCCTGCGGATGCTGAAGCAGATCACACTGAAATGCTTGCAGTTGACTCAGAAGGTACCACGTACAAGTGGAGTTTCAGTTCTAACAATTTAGCTGCCAGTGCAGCTTGGCGTGCGTTTCATGATCACCAGGAGGTAGATCCTGGGGAGAGCGTACACAGCATACCTGCGTGGAATCCCGAAGTGCTGAACAGTAGCGAGCCAAGAAAAGACCAACGTGCATTCATGTACCGTGAGGAGAATGGAGTCAAGTCGGTGCTGTTGGCTGACAATAACTGTGATTGTCTGTCAACCCTAAGTCTCGGACACGGTATGTGTCATAATGGTTCTAGATTTGCTAGCGTCAACAGTTTTGGCGTGGATACTCTATATGAACCATCCTGTCAAAGCCCAAGATCAGGTATTGGTCTTACGCTGTATGTCCGCAGAAAAACTCCTAATTAATACTCATCATGACTAAATGATAACCTCTACGTATTTTCTTCAGTAACTTATAAGCAAACTATTTATTCCAAATATTCCATTTAAAAAAATGGATTATTTAATTCTTTCACACCCAATATTTGATTGTTAATTCTCCCCGATAGCAGCTACTCATTTCTTTGTAAATTAGTAACGAGAATTTGGTTTTAGATCAAAATAAAAACTTCTACTTGATGACAACTTTTGAGTATTCTCATTATATTTGTTTCCTGGATAATGTGTAAATGCTATAGGATGTAGCTACTTGTTGACAACTTCTGGGAGTAAACTGATTAAGCGATAAACCTATTAAAAATACCCCCATTTATATTCCTTCACCGTATACATCTTTGATTTTCATCTGCATGGTGACACTTGTTATTTGGGTATTTTCTTTGTTCCACCCAACGTTGAAATTTTTCTTACCTCTGAAGGACTTATTCCAACACTTCGACCCCTACGAATGAGAATAAGTTTTTTCAGGTCCTCAACACTTTTGAAATCAACTGTTATTTGTGTCCCATCGGGAGATGTGTAATTTCCAAAACCAAAAACCAAAAAAAAATGAAAAAAAGAAGCAACCAACACATACCAAAACCGTATCAGAAAAAACATCACAGTGGATAACTACTCAGAACAAAAAGAGAAAAAGGAAAAAAGAAGATAAATATAATGATAATAAGGAAAAAAAAAAAAAGAGAAAAGACAGCAAAAACAAAATGCAAATTCCACGGGGAGGAGTTACCCGGCCCCCAAGCCAGTTTGAGAGTTACTCCTTGTCCGCCAGCTCCAAATCATACTCGGGGAGAAGTTATTCGGCCCCCAAGCCAGACTAAGAATAACTCCTATATCGTGATTCGAACCAGCGATGACCTCTCTAGCACTCGTTGCGCGCCCACGACTACCGCTCGACCATCTGGAAACTGCATAATTAATAAGGATAAATTGTCGGTGTGAAGAGTTTTTTAATACTGGGTCGGTGGGAGGGGGGGAGGGTGAGGAAGTTTGTCTGACTGAGAGTGAAGTGGTGCGTTTCTGGTCAAGAATAAAGGAAACGAATCGCACAAAGAACTAACAGAAGCGATAGAAACGAAAAATATTAGCAAATGTTTTAATGGCGAACGGCTTCAGAGAAGCTATTCTTTATCAAGTATGTGCGTTTGGACAATGTAACACACCAGGTAACACGCATTCTTATCTCTATGGACGCATTTTTTATACATTCATTTCTTTTACTTTATGTTTGTTCAGACTATGTTTTTGTTTGATAGCGGATTCTTCGTAAGGCAGGAGCACGAAGTTCTGACTTTATAACACATAAATTAAAGAGCCTGACATCTTGCTTCGTACTTCTTTATACAAAAACTTCAACAATCTTGTACGTGGTCTTCCTATGGTTAGATACAGAAAGACAACAATTTGACGCGAATGACGCCACTCTTTTGTCTCTATAGTTACAGATGACGTCAAGAATTATTTCTAGTTTCTAATAAGTGTTTCCGAAGCTTCTCTCAGTCGCCAGATGGGCATCGCTGATCATGACGCATCTGGAAGCAATTTCGATGATCTGCTTCTTTTCTACTATTTTTCTCTTCTCCATATCTCTGACAACGCAGCAAGTTGTTAGAGATTCTGCCGATGGCATAAGCTTCGCAAATTTTGCCATACACGAAAAGCAAAGACTGGACACCAACCAGCTACAGTCCAGCACTGCCAATGAGTACGCAGAATGCTTAGAGAGATGTTTGGTTCACGAAAGCTGTACATCACTCAATTATGGCGGAAATGGGGGTGCCGAGTGTCAGCTATTGGAGTCTAACAAGCACGATTCTCCTGAAAAGATGAAGTTCGATGAGGCATTTGTGCATTTCTCGCTAAAGGTAAGAGAAAGTTTGGCCCATTTTAAGCGTTTTGAATAAGAACCAAACATCACAGAATTATAACCTCTTTATAATCTCTTGCCAGACGTGATTTTGCTACATATTGCTATCAACCTTTACGAACTTTTTCTGATGACCAAGTAGGCGAAAATATAGTCAACAAATTTTACATTTCTTTCGGACTTTTCAGGAAAAGAAGAGAGTACTTTTCTAAATAATTAAATAAAGTCTTATTAAAGGGTTAAATTCAAATCACTTTCGAAACCGCATCAGTTTGCTTAAATGCGATTTTTTTTATACCATATTATTTATTCAAGCAAAAGAAAAAAAGCATCGTAAGTCAAAAACAGTTCTCAAAACATTAATCAACACATCACCTCTGTAGCATGAACCACAATAAATGTTTTGATAACTTGTATTTTATAGATATAAACTTCAAAGTTTCTTGGCGCGGGGCAATTTATAAATCTTTATCTTTTAAAACCATTTATCAAAATTTAAAGTTCAATTTTACAAAAAGGGAAAGAAGAATTCTCAGAATAACATAAAGAGTCCTTAGCGTAAGATAATTTAAATGCAATGCCCGTGCTGCCCTGGTTAATAAACGAGATTTACCTGTTTCACTTAAATCGCGAAACTTTTGTTTAAGTAAATCTATCACTCCTTAATTTTCCCAAAATTAATGACCCACAACGATTTCATCCACTGAAATCAACTTTTGTTTCAAAAAGTCATTCCGAAAATCAACATCTGTTTTCAACGGGACACTGTTTGTAAAAGTTTTATTGCGAGCTTATAAAAGACAATAGCTCAACATCCTCCATAAGGCATGAAAATGTGTTCTTCCATATTTTCCTTGGACATAATCCGCTCCTCAAAGTTCACAGCTTCGTTCTCAGAAAATTAACTGTTCGCTTCTCTCAACTGAAAATATCTACAGACATCTATGCCTGCTTGTTTTCACGCTAAATTAAGGCTATTATTTATTCATGTGGTTTAGCGATTGAAGAAAATATGGAAGAGTTTCCTTTTTACCCCTCGGCCAAATGATCCACAATCACCGTTTAACGAAAGGACATGAGTGTTTTTACAAAGCAGTGATGACTTGGTGAGATTTGTCTAGTCACGGACAAGCGTATTATACGTGAAATGAAAACAAAAGTTTGTTTTGGATGGAATTGATAAACTGGGAAAAGGTGTCCGCTCCAGGAGGAATATTTTTCTGGTTTGTTTGGCAATCTGCTGAAGTAATTGGTTTCCATTCAATAAGTTTTGTTTTATTTATCTCCCGAGATAGACCTCTACTGTCGTTTCCCGTTGTAAGCCTTCTACTGTTAATAACTAAATAAGAAATTGGCGAATTGGGTAGTTTTTAACGCTGAACTGTTGGGATTTAAGCCTGTGATTACAATTTAATGGTTGTAACAATGTAGAATTCTTGTTACGCTTTAATTGCCTGTCTTTTCTGCAGAGCCCTTGTGACAATCAACCATGTTTAAACAGGGGGAAATGTATCCCAGACTACCAAAAAAATACCTACCGATGTCGTTGCCCTTGGGAATACAACGTTTTGAAAAACTGTGAAGGTGAGGAAGAGTGGTTCAAGTTTCGTACAAAAAGAAAATAGTTTTTAACCGGCTGCTCTCGGTTCGTGTTTAATGCAAGGCGTACTTTTTTTTAAGTACATGATCACTAAAGTTGAATTTGGCTTATTAATGCATGTAGAATTGATGAAAGAGGACTCTGAAAGCCATGTGAGTCATAACTTGAAAGCTAAGACTTCATGTGATAGGCAGACGAATGTAACACGGCTGAATTTTCAACGCCCTTGATGGGAAGGTGTAAGCTCTTTACCCTTTTATTCTTATCAGTAACCAAGACAGAATTTCAGGCAAGAAATTTAAGCAGACAAGTCATGAGAATAAAGGAAATATCAGGCAGGGGATTAATAGTTGATTCAATAACAAATTCTCTAAACTGACATTATAAGAATAGTATGGCGGATTATAGAGATAATTGCTGCGGAGATCCTGGGTGTTACAGGGTTAAGGCATCATGTCACTTGAGTCATGAAACAAATGCAGATGTTATTATAAACTCGATAGATTCGATAAGAAAACCTTTGGCTATCGCTATGAAAGATGTTACTTTTTCAAACCAAATCAGCTAAAAAGAGAGTCATACAAATCGCTGGCCAGGTTTAGTTACCTCTTCGTGGTACGTCCAGGCCTTTTTAGCGTGTTTCGTTGTTTGCACTCGTAGGTCGAATTCTTCCGTCCGACGATGGAGACTGGATAGCCTTCTGGTGGTATGACGTTGGTACCACGTGGCCATCAGATGAAAAAGACGTCCTTGCTTACGACTTTGGTTACTGCGAGCCACGTGATCCGTACTGCTTTGGTCGGCTCCCCGCAGATGCTAAGGCAGATCACACTGAAATGCTTGCAGTTGACTCAGAAGGTACCACGTACAAGTGGAATTTCAGCTCTAGCGCTTCAGCTGCCAGTGCAGCTTGGCGTGCTTTCCATGATCACCAGGAGGTAGATCCTGGGGAGAGCGTAGACAGCATACCTGCGTGGAATCCCGAAGTGCTGAACGGTAGCGAGCCAAGAAAAGACCAACGTGCATTCATGTACCGTGAGGAGAATGGAGTCAAGTCGGTGCTGTTGGCTGACAATAACTGTGATTGTCTGTCAACCCTAAGTCTCGGACACGGTATGTGTAATAATGGTTCTAGATCTGCTAGCGTCAACAGTTTTGGCGTGGAAACTCTATATGAACCATCCTGTCAAAGCCCAAGATCAGGTATTGGTCTTACGCTGTATGTCCGCAGAAAAACTCCTAATTAATACTCATCATGACTAAATGATAACCTCTACGTATTTTCTTCAGTAACTTATAAGCAAACTATTCATTTCAAATATTCCATTTAAAAGACATGGATTATTTTAATTCTTTCACACCCAATATTTGATTGTTAATTCTCCCCTTTAGCACCAACTCATTTCTTTGTAAATTAGCAACAGGAATTTAGTGTTGGATCAAAATAAAAACTTCTACTTGATGACAACTTTTGAGTATGGGAGTATACGATGTTGTTACTTGTTGATCACTTGTGGGAGTATACCAGGAGCCCATTAGCAAATCGATTAGGCGATAAAGCAGTTCAAAGTAATCCTATCTATTTCTTCAGTAACTTATAAGCAAACTATTTATTTCAAATATTCCGTCTAAAAGACATCGATTATTTTAATGCTTTCTCACCCAATATTTGATTGTTAATTCTGCCCGCTAGCAGCTACTCATTTCTTTGTAAATTAGTAACGAGAATTTGGTTTTAGATCAAAATAAAAACTTCTACTTGATGACAACTTTTGAGTATTCTCATTATATTTGTTTCCTGGATAATGTGTAAATGCTATAGGATGTAGCTACTTGTTGACAACTTCTGGGAGTAAACTGATTAAGCGATAAACCTGTTTAAAATACCCCCATTTATATTCCTTCACCGTATACATCTTTGATTTTCATCTGCATGGTCACACTTGTTATTTGGGTATTTTCTTTTTCCCACCCAACGTTGAAATTTTTCTTACCTCTGAAGGACTTATTCCAACACTTCGACCCCTACGAATGAGAATAAGTTTTTCCAGGTCCTCAACACTTTTGAAATCAACTGTTATTTGTGTCCCATCGGGAGATGTGCAATTTCCAAAACCAAAAACAAAAAAATGAAAAAAAGAAGCAACCGACACATACCAAAACCGTATCAGAAAAAACATCACAGTGGATAACTACTCAGAACAAAAAGAGAAAAAGGAAAGAAGAAGATAAATATCATGATGATAAGAAGAAAAAAAAAAGAGAAAAGACAGCAAAAACAAAAAGCAAATTCCACGGGGAGGAGTTACTCGGCCCCCAAGCCAGTTTGAGAGTTACTCCTTGTCCGCCAGTTCCAAATCATACTCGGGGAGAAGTTACTCGGCCCCCAAGCCAGATTAAGAATAACTCCTATAGCGTGATTCGAACCAGCGACCTCCATGACCTCTCTAGCACTCGTTGCGCGCCCACGACTACCGCTCGACCATCTGGAAACTGCATAATTAATAAGAATAAATTGTCGGCGTGAAGAGTTTTTTAATACTGGGTCGGTGGGAGGGGGGGAGGGTGAGGAAGTTTGTCTGACTGAGAGTGAAGTGGTGCGTTTCCGGTCAAGAATAAAGGAAACGAACGAATTTTATACCATATTATTTATTCAAGCAAAAGAAAAAAAGCATCGTAAGTCAAAAACAGTTCTCAAAACATTAATCAACACATCACCTCTGTAGCATGAACCACAATAAATGTTTTGATAACTTGTATTTTATAGATATAAACTTCAAAGTTTCTTGGCGCGGGGCAATTTATAAATCTTTATCTTTTAAAACCATTTATCAAAATTTAAAGTTCAATTTTACAAAAAGGGAAAGAAGAATTCTCAGAATAACATAAAGAGTCCTTAGCGTAAGATAATTTAAATGCAATGCCCGTGCTGCCCTGGTTAATAAACGAGATTTACCTGTTTCACTTAAATCGCGAAACTTTTGTTTAAGTAAATCTATCACTCCTTAATTTTCCCAAAATTAATGACCCACAACGATTTCATCCACTGAAATCAACTTTTGTTTCAAAAAGTCATTCCGAAAATTAACATCTGTTTTCAACGGGACACTGTTTGTAAAAGTTTTATTGCGAGCTTATAAAAGACAATAGCTCAACATCCTCCATAAGGCATGAAAATGTGTTCTTCCATATTTTCCTTGGACATAATCCGCTCCTCAAAGTTCACAGCTTCGTTCTCAGAAAATTAACTGTTCGCTTCTCTCAACTGAAAATATCTACAGACATCTATGCCTGCTTGTTTTCACGCTAAATTAAGGCTATTATTTATTCATGTGGTTTAGCGATTGAAGAAAATATGGAAGAGTTTCCTTTTTACCCCTCGGCCAAATGATCCACAATCACTGTTTAAAGAAAGGACATGAGTGTTTTTACAAAGCAGTGATGACTTGGTGAGATTTGTCTAGTCACGGACAAGCGTATTATACGTGGAATGAAAACAAAAGTTTGTTTTGGATGGAATTGATAAACTGGGAAAAGGTGTCCGCTCCAGGAGGAATATTTTTCTGGTTTGTTTGGCAATCTGCTGAAGTAAACTGGTTTCCATTCAATAAGTTTTGTTTTATTTATCTCCCGAGATAGACCTCTACTGTCGTTTCCCGTTGTAAGCCTTCTACTGTTAATAACTAAATAAGAAATTGGCGAATTGGGTAGTTTTTAACGCTGAACTGTTGGGATTTAAGCCTGTGATTACAATTTAATGGTTGTAACAATGTAGAATTCTTGTTACGCTTTAATTGCCTGTCTTTTCTGCAGAGCCCTTGTGACAATCAACCATGTTTAAACAGGGAGAAATGTATCCCAGACTACCAAAAAAATACCTACCGATGTCGTTGCCCTTGGGAATACAACGTTTTGAAAAACTGTGAAGGTGAGGAAGAGTGGTTCAAGTTTCGTACAAAAAGAAAATAGTTTTTAACCGGCTGCTCTCGGTTCGTGTTTGATGCCAGGCGTACTTTTTTTTTTAAGTACATGATCGCTGAAGTTGAATTTGGCTTATTAATGCATGTAGAATTGATGAAAGAGGACTCTGAAAGCCATGTGAGTCATAACTTGAAAGCTAAGACTTCATGTGATAGGCAGACGAATGTAACACGGCTGAATTTTTCAACGCCCTTGATGGGAAGGTGTAAGCTCTTTACCCTTTTATTCTTATCAGTAACCAAGACAGAATTTCAGGCAAGAAATTTAAGTAGACAAGTCATGAGAATAAAGGAAATATCAGGCAGGGGATTAATAGTTGATTCAATAACAAATTCTCTAAACTGACATTATAAGAATAGTATGGCGGACGATAGAGATAATTGCTGCGGAGATCCTGGGTGTTACAGGGTTAAGGCATCATGTCACTTGAGTCATGAAACAAATGCAGATGTTATTATAAACTCGATAGATTCGATAAGATTCAATAACTGTGATTGTCTGTCAACCCTAAGTCTCGGACACGGTATGTGTAATAATGGTTCTAGATCTGCTAGCGTCAACAGTTTTGGCGTGGATACTCTATATGAACCATCCTGTCAAAGCCCAAGATCAGGTATTGGTCTTACGCTGTATGTCCGCAGAAAAACTCCTAATTAATACTCATCATGACTAAATGATAACCTCTACGTATTTTCTTCAGTAACTTATAAGCAAACTATTTAATTCAAATATTCCATTTAAAAGACATCGATTCTTTTAATGCTTTCACACCCAATATTTGATTGTTAATTCTCCCCTTTAGCAGCAACTCATTTCTTTGTAAATTAGCAACGGGAATTTGGTGTTAGATCAAAATAAAAACTTCTACTTGATGACAACTTTTGAGTATGGGAGTATACGATGAAGATACTTGTTGATCACTTCTGGGAGTAAACCAGGAGCTCATTAGTAAACCGATTGAGCGATAAAGCAGTTCAAAATATTCCCATCTATATTCCTTAACCGTATGCATCTACGATTTTCATCTGCATGGTCACACCTGTTATTTGAGTATTTTCTTTTTCCCACCCAAAGTTGAAATTTTTCTTACCTCTGAAGGACTTATTCCAACACTTTGACCCCTATGAACGAGAATAAGTTTTCAGGTCCTCAACACTTTTGAAATCAACTGTCATTTGTGTTGTATCCCATCGGGAGATATGCAATTCCAAAAAAAATAGAAATGAAAAAAAAGAAGCAACCGACACATACCAAAACCGTATCAGAAAAAACATCACAGTGGATAACTACTCAGAACAAAAAGAGAAAAAGGAAAGAAGAAGATAAATATCATGAGAATAAGAAAAAAAAATAGAAAAGACAGCAAAAACAAAATGCAAATTCCACGGGGAGGAGTTACTCGGCCCCCAAGCCAGTTTGAGAGTTACTCCTTGTCCGCCAGCTCCAAATCATACTCGGGGAGAAGTTATTCGGCCCCCAAGCCAGTTTAAGAATAACTCCTATAGAGTGATTCGAACCCGCGACCTCGATGACCTCTCTAACACTCGTTGCGCGCCCACGATTACCAGTCGACCATCTGGAAACTACATAATTAATAAGGATAAATTGTCGGTGTAAAGAGTTTTTAAAAGTGCAAAGGTAGCCTTTAAAGATCTCGTGCTTTTCTACGTGGCCTGTATTAGATCTATATTAACGTACGCGACTCCTGTTTTCTATTATGCATTACCTATATATTTGCAGCAGGAGTTAGAGCGCGTTCAAAAAAGAGCTTTCTCTATTATAAGCTCAGGCCAAGACTATCACGAGATTTTAGAGGCTGCCGGCATTCCACCGATCATGGCTTATATGGAAGACAGCTGCCGCAATCTCTTTAGAAACATTATCGAAAACGACAATCACAGGCTTCGTGAATTGTTGCCTAGTGCCAACCATCCAAAGCACAATTTAAGACGTAACAGGCGTTTCGAAATCCCCCGGTGGAGGACAAACCGTTTTAAAAACACCTTCATGATGGCCTCCACCATTAAATATAACAACAACAGTTAATTAACGACCGTTTCCTAGAAACCTATGTAGATTATGTAAATATAGCTTTTAAATATAGATAGGTTTTAGCTCATAGATTTTTTAATTGTTTATAATTTTGAATATTCTTATATACGTTATATAATATATTTATTTAATTACATTATTGTAATATACGCAATTCAGCCGCAAGGCTGCTAGGTATATTTAAATAAACTATCTATCTATCTATCTATCTATCTATCTATCTATCTACCGAGTCAGGGGGAGGGGGGGAGGGTGAGGAAGTTTGTCTGACTGAGAGCGCAGTGGAGCGTTTCGGGTCAAGAATAAAGGAAACGAATCGTACAAAGAACTAATAGAAGCGATAGCAAATGTTTAAAAGGCGGACGGCTTCAGAGAAGCTATTCTTTATCAAGTATGTGCATTTGGACAAAGTTACACACCAGGTAACACGCATTCTTACCTCTATGGACGCATTTTTTATACATACATTTATTTTACTTTATATTTACTTCAGACTACTATGTTTTTGTTTGACTAAGCAGATGACTTTGGATAGTGGATTGTTCTTGAGACTTGAATTGTTCGTGAAAAATTTACTAAATTGAAAGATTTCTATAGTGGTAAGAAAGTAATTGTGTCACTTCGTGACAATATACGTTTCGGAACAATCCAAGACCCCTTTCGCTGAAGGACAGCTCCATGTGATGAATTGCAAATAAGGTATCCCCTTTTTCCTGTCGACTTTCCTGAAAATTTTTTACATTTATCATTTTTTCCTTGGAGAGAGAAATGCCCAGGTATTTTTCTTCCTTTTTGAAACTTCTCTTTGCTTTCTTTTTGCTTAAAACGAGTTTTCTAAAAATAAAGTAAAATTTCTATCATTTGCGGGGAAATAGGCATTTTGTCCATCAGTCCGGGCCATAGACAGGCGTGTCATGAAATATGACGTCACGGTCCAATTTCAAAAACTTGGGCAAGCCCCACGTTTTTGTCTCTGAGATGTATGGCCCTTGGGACCTAGGTCACTTGAGAGTACAGAATGTCGCGTAAGAGCGGTTTGAACGGCGTCGGCTGAAATATGTGCGAGAAGTCATGAATTTAAGTCGAGCTGCGATGACTTTTTGAGGCGGTTGAAGACACACGTGCTGTCATTTTTATGAAACGGTGTACGATTTTGTTTGAGAAAAACGAAAAATATTACGGTAAATCTCAATATATGTGCTTCACACTTAAAAGCAGAAGTCGAGCGGCAGAAGTCGAATTCTAATACGAAAAAAATTTTTTTTAACATTCACGTTGAAATTTCCCATGAGACAGAAGTATAAATATACTTTCAGTCGTCACTACCTTCCACGAGGTGACCTAAAGACATCTCACCGGAAACAGATCGAATTAGATGACAAAAGTGCGTGCAAAGTAAGTCAGTGTACGTGCAACACATGCGGGGTGAGAGAACCGAAATGAAATGTCTGTCGAAAATTAGATTTTCAACATAGAAATAAATAAGTCAGTGATATCTATCTTGAACTTTGTTGTCAATTCTGTTCTGCAGTCCCCTTCGCATTACAGCATAGGAAAAGTTAGCAAGAAAGAGAATAGTCCCAATCCTCTCTCGGCCACGTCAGTTTGTTTTGGTTTTGTCAAGACCAATCATATCGCCGGAAATGGTATAGACAAAACTGTCTTTGGCCCGAACTATTGATCACTCAAATTTCAAGTCTGTGTAGAGGTCTAAGCCTGTCCCGATTGTGCTGAAAAGTTGGCCACTGGAATACCAGAAAGTTGCTACCCTTATTTCAAAGTTGCCACCCAAGTTTCTTGATAATTTTAGGTAAACGTCGATTAAAAGCTTCACTTTTGGTTTTTCTCCATAGTTGCCTAAATAGATGCTCCTTTTCAAAAAAGAAGTTTATTACATATTAATTTGAATATCAAAATTTTATTAGAATGGGAAGTTTCCAGTAAAATTAAAAACAATTCAGGTGGCTTTGCGATTTCAAGTAAAGATGAGTAGTTAAACAACAGCCAGTTTACACAGCCAAATAAACATCTTCCAAAATTGTCAAAAAATTTCCTCAGGTCATAATACCCCACAAAAGGTTTAATTAGTCTGTTGAAAGAAGGCAAAACAATAAGATTAATTTAACGAAAGCATCAATTTAGATATGAATATGAGGTGTGATGAAAAGAATATCCGTCACCGCCATAAAGACGACAACATCAACAGCTGCCAAGTAATTAAATTTGTTTGCAAAGTTGGATACCGGAATTGCGTCCTGCAGTTAATTGATATATCTTTCTAGAACACTGTTTGCTCACCAACCAAGCGAGATGCGAAATAAAAATAAATATTTGCAAGCGTATCTATTATCCGGAATTTCGCCTCAGCGGACGATGTAGAGCTAGATGATGATGATGTCTCACTTTCATCATGTTTTTCGCAGTCACAGTCATAATTGCTTTTACGGAATTAACTGGTGAGAATGGTTTGAATACTTTTCTTTTCCCTGGCTGTGTAAATTATAATTAAGACACGAGACAGATAATTGCCGAAATTGAGCCCTAGGCTAAAAGCGAACTTTTATGGTTATCACAAAAAAACAAAAAAAAAACTCTGGCTTGAAAAACAGGGCTGAAACACTCCCGCACGAAACAGCTGAATCTTTTTCCTGCAGTTTGTATTGGTTTCCGCGTTGTGGTCATCCTCATAATTAAGGTGGCGGTGTAAAATAAACAATAACAAAACTGATAAGTGTGTTTCATGCAAATGTTTTTGGTAATTAATTAGACAATAGCCTTCCTTCTTAAAAACTTATCGAAAACAACTCATAATGGTATTATTTTGGCTGGCCTTGGACAATCACAATTACCTTTATAAATAAGGAATATTTTCCACATCGAGATATCACTACTCTATTCAAGCGCAAAACTCTGGCAAGATGATTTCCAGAAATCAGATGTATTTCTTCAAGTGATTCACTGTTGTGAAAAGTGCAGGTGATTATAGGTAAGATATATCATTGTTCTTGCTTATAAGCTCTCATTTTGCAAAAAAAAGCTCTGAAGAGGCTAGGGGAAGAATATGTTTTGGCGATTTTTATTTACTTCGTTTTCAGTGGCTTCATCCTCCTCCAGTTTATAAAAACATGTAGCGTTTTCAAAGCTATAAAAGCACAAAGTGGCTTCGTACTGAAATTCATATTAAAATACTATCCACTTTAAACCGCTTAAAGTAAACTAACAGTATCAAAATATTGTTTATATTATGTTAGCTGGTTATGCTTGTATCGGATAGCGTTCTTTTAATCTACAGACTGTTCTTTCAAGTTTTAGCATTGTGAACAAAAACAACACTGTTCATGTACCTTAGCCCGTAAGCCAATTTTTTGATCCCCAATCAACTTCGTAAAACTACATTATTTCATCGCTTCCTTCAGAACCTTGTTCAGAGGTGAATAGTTTCTTCGTATTTGTATAGAAGAAGTGAATAGAAAAATGGGAGAAAGCTAGGTTGAGTTTTGGCAGAAATGAAATGAATTACAGCTTACTTTGACAAACTATTCCTAGAGATTCAGCCACCAGTGTTCCACGGTGGCTGAATACTGTAGTGTCAAAAACCAATGGGTAATACATCAGTGCAATCCCAATTTATAGTACGCATCCTTTTCGAAATTTTACATCGGAACATCTGACATATATAGGAAAAACTAGGATCGGAATGAGAACAAAAAAGACAATAAGTTAAATTTTGCTGATTTCCTTCTTTAGTTCAGTTTAATTAAATGCCGTCAACCCCTAAAGACGCCATTTGTTGCTTTCTTTCTTGTCCGCGCGATTGCCGATCTTCTCGTAAAATTCAATTTTGTCCGCTGAGAAAGAAGCTTGTTACTGATTACTTGTCAAAAACTCTCGTTTGTTAGTGATTTAAAAACGGAAATACATAAATGAGTAAAATATATCAGCAATTAAATACCTTGTCTTGTATTGGGCAGTGCGTTTGAATCAACCTTTTGCTGTTAGATTATAGGCGCTACGTCGTAATATTTTGAATAAATTTTTTGGGACGGTTAAAAGTAGTTTTAACTTCGAAAGGGCTAAAAGATATTTGGACGGTAAGAAGGATGAACCGAGAGTGAACAAGGATGGCAGGGGATGTAGAAGATTAAGATAACACAATCCATGTCGGGGTTCCTATAAAAACCGATTCGTCCCTTATCCTAAATCATGTATTTGTGACACCCGTGGCTGTTTTTAGTTGTGTTTGGAAGAGTCCAGTAGAGTAATCAACGCCGTCTGCGGGCTTTTCTCCCAGTCGGCGACATCGCAGATTAAACCCAAACATTGCAATGAGCGATACCGGTTGCTACAGATCAGTCATGTCTGTTTTCACTGAGGGGTTTAAAAACGTATCTGTAACAACGCTCACGGTGACATTCAAAGAAAAATAATCGAACTACGACTCTTTCAATGATCATGATGATTATAGTTGTAGCTAGTTGTGTTGTGGAGGAAAAGCGAATTTTCTGAGACTGAGCAGTCGCCAAAACCTATGACGTCATCTGAGATGGCTTCCAATACGGCATCTACGATAGCGGCCATTTGTGGTATCATGGACGGTTGAACTTTGTCAACAAGGGACAGTGTCACTTAACGTACAGTAAAACTGAAAATTGCCACTTTTTAAAAGCTTCTGATGAAGAAACGTCCTCAATAATTAAGTGAATAGCGTGAATTCTTTGTTGAAAATGGTTTAATTTTCTATTCTTTACCAGGAGCCCATTACTTTAGTAATGGGTTCCTGTCTGTACTCATGACGTTATAAATCGCTTCACAGCAATCGTCGGACTAACATTTGACTTTATCAAGAAGTGCCTAATGGATTGAAAACATCAAATGTAAACAACAGCTGTTTATACGACTTCCTTTGCAAAAAGTCTGAAGAAAAGTAAAGAAATGTTATGAAATTCAGATTCTCTGCCATTTTATTTCGCGTTAGAGAGTTCAGTTGGTAATGATCATTAATTTGACTGGTAACTATCCTAGAGGCGATAATATTTGAAAAAAGGAGACGATATTCTTAAGTGAAAGTTTTGAACGATTTAATTGTAACTAAAAGCTTTATCAAAGCCAGATAACCCATACTATTGCGCCAAATGTTGGTTTTTCTTATCAGTCACACACCTGAAACCTCGCTAAAAGAAAGATCACAGCTTTTTCGCTCAAACTGTATTTAAATTGAACCTAAAATAAAGTAACACTACCATGCAAAACAAATAGTTCTCTAATTTGATGCAGAAGTAAGCTCTTATAACCATTGGCAATAATTTCCTTGTAAAATTTGGCCTTCAACGACACTTTTAATAGCATTAAGTTTATTAAGATAACTCTCCTGATAATAGTAACTTGCGTGAGCTCACATCTTAAGCTGAATTTTAAAAGCTAAAAATTGATTTGAAAATGCATAAATAATATCTTCATTGGCTCTTCAGGTACGCAAAGGAATTAAAATCGAGGATGTTTATTCCTTATAAATTTTGATGGAGGAATGCTCTAGATTTTGCAGAATAACTTCTGTAGTGCCCACTCACCGGTTGCATGGGCAGATAATGTGATATCCCTAAAACAATCGACTGAAACAGCATACATAAAATATTAGCCCCTTGTATTCACTTTACGAAATACTTGACGAGAGAATATAGAGAGATTACGTGTCTCATTAATGCAATAAATTTTATGTTCCTCAGGACAATTTTACGCCGGGATCTACCTCTTCATAACTGACAGTGGTAAGACAAAAAGATACAATAGAACAAGAAAATCATGAATAAAATAAATGAAAAGAGTAAATATCAATAATGTTCTCGGTGAGATTCTAAATCATTTTAAGTATCTAATAGTAAATATCATGCTCAGAATGACAAAAAATAAAAATTCAAAATTGAACAATTGATCGTAGTAACTGGGTCTGGTTCAGTCAAAACAAAAATTAATATTTTTATCTTTTTTTAAAATAAATCCTCACATTCCATTGCACAAGCAGTTCTCGATATTTCTTTCCTTGCGAACGTGTCAAATAACTTTATCGCCTTATTACAATTTTTCAATTATGCGGTTTGGAAATTAGAATGAATTTCTAATGATATTTATCTTTCATGTGAGAATATCATTGGTTAAAGATGGAAATCCCCTATTGGTTAATTAGTTTTGCGACTCTGTGTTTATTCTAAGAAATAGTTTAATGGTATTTCGGCGCTCGGAGCTTCCCATGTTATGGCGTGTGCCTCTGTTTGATAAAATGAAATTTGTTTTGAATTTGATTGGCTCAAAATCTCTAAAACTTCATTTGCTTAAAATGTGAATAAAAACATTTAATCGCATGTCTTTCTCGAAAAGAAAGAGTTTAAAAAAAAGCAAGAATTAAATAAGATTTGCAATTTTCACATGATACAATATCTGTAACCTCTATTTTTTTCTATTAATATTTAACGCAAATTTCCCCACAGCCAAATAATTTACAAGAAATTCCAGGGAGGCGATTAGCTTCATAACAATTTAAAAACCACCTAAGAAAGAGAGGCGAGACATTCCGCACGGCACAAGGCGAATCACTCTGTTGGAATCGGCTGTGATCTGTGGAATTCAAGGTAGGGAACTTGTAGGCAAGGCCGTCTAATCGCGTGCTATTTCAGTTGGAGCAAATGAGCTGAGAATCGTGTAACATTTGAGGCAATGAGCTCAAAAACGAAACCCCGGGAATTCTTTTTCTTCGACAAACTAAGTTCATTTCTAAGATTGATTTGACTTCGCAAGTGACGTTCAGCTGAGTCGCTAATTCTAGCAGTATGCACGCAGGTTGTCTTATGTGAAGCTATTTAATGGGTACTTTGTGGCTAAGTTCACCAAAATGTGCTCACGAAGCGTCAGAACGCGAAATTCTACTGAGTGTGAAGTTGGATTTGTCTCAAGAGACTCGAGGAAGACGTTTTACATATTTTTTAATTATATAACTATTTTTACCAAATGTAAACAAATGTTTGTTCCGTTTGAAACACCATCTGCCCCGACTTTTTGTAAATATGGGTGATAGAGGTTTTTCAAACTCAACATTAGAGAGAAAATTATGTCTCTTTGAGCGAGTTGACCAGTTACGTACGTCTGTTCAGATGTATATTCAGCAAGAGATAACATAAAAATATGACTTCGACCTTTGATCAGTTCTGGTCAGTAGTTTAAAAAGTACTTCATACTTATGCGGTTTTCTGTACGACGGTGTTCTTTAAAGGTGTCTGTTATCCAAAAATCTTCAAATAAATTCGGCTAATTCGCAATTTTAACAGAGACGAACGAGAAATGATTTAACTGATAAAATATGCAACAGTCCCCGAGATGTCTGAAAACAAAAGGAAGTGCAGCTTGATCAAATGTTACGGAATAGAGCTTCTTATGTTAAAGCGGCCATGTTATTGACTGGCTATCGTCAATAAATTATCTTTAGGTTTGCAAGTTCGCCATTTGCAATGCGTATCAATCTTCTCCACGCTCACCGTTTGGGCTTTTTTTTTTTTTTCTTACCTTACCTAACTTACATTTTGTGGTTTTCTCAAGTCAAAAGTAATTTTTTATGTCGCTCAAGGCGTTTTGCTTCCTTTTCATTTTAACGATGGTACGATTTTTAGACGTTGTCATTAAGATGTGCCTGAACTTGACTTGACATTGTAATCTTCTACCCAAATCCCATGCCACATGGAGTGCTTCAAATAGAATTTCTTTTCAGATACTCGACCATACATTTGAAATTTATCGGTCTTACTCAAGGATCCCGCTGTTGTTTTGTCTGGTTTACCTTTACAGCCATCCCTCGCACTCTCGCACTAACCGCACACCGACGGAAATGCCATCTCAAAAACATTTTTTTTTTCATATACCTCTGAAGTTAAAACTATACTTGAAGATATGACGCTTGTTACAACAAAAAGAGCATTTCTGTTTACATAATAATCGATACAATGTATATAACTGCTGAATAGTTTGTCTAATTTCCTTGCTTGCAAATTTTTATAAACTAATTTTCTCAAGATTTTTTTCATTTTGCAGACTCTGCTGCATTAGCGCGCTCGATTCGTTCATTTAAATAAACACATCTGAAGAATTCTTTAAGTTTAATCTTAAGAAATTCATTTAAGTTAAGTGAAAAATGTTTATCAATTTCATTTTTTTTTAAGTATAATTTTATTTTCTTGGAAGACTTTGGTTTTTGACTAATTATTTTTTTAAAAGTAACTTTGTTCTATTTTCTTCCGTGACTCAAGAATTCTGAATGAAATGTAGCTTAACTTTAAGGCTCTAATTCACGTAGAGAGACATTCTTTATGGTTGGAAAGTGAAGGTAATCTACTCAATATCCGGACACAAGTGACTGTCGGCTTTTTTATCATCATGTTTGTTTTCAAAGCTTTACATAAAAGTCTCCGGAAAAAGAGATGTTTCATATGATATATGTATTGCCTCCCACAACTCTGGACTCGTATTTACATCAAACATCGATGAGTGCCATGTATTTTTGAGGTTTAAAACATAAAGTCTGCAAGATTACAGGATAATACTATACATTATGACGGATAGCTTAATCTAAATCGAGTTGAGTGTATATAGATCTATATATCCGAACGTGATTCAGAAACGAAAGCTTGGAGCCTGTTGCGAAACAGAGTGAGTTATTTACTCCTCGAAAGAGAAGGAGGTGAGTGACGTAAATGTTTAACAAAAGTGAACGGATCTGATTCAGGTATAGCTTCCCATTTGCTTTCTGTGAGGTGCAGAATAACTTTCAGCGTGAGGGTAACCACAATAAATTATTTGCACCAAAATGTGAGAAATAAACCCACAAGAACGTGGTTAACATTGTGGAAGATTTACACCAATTGGAAATTGCTAATTTGAGAAAGTTAGGTCCTTTCTTCCAAGGCGCACAAAATGTAATAGAAAAACTCGTTCGACGAGAAGTTCACTCAACAGACATGTTTCCTTACGTTATTTCTGCAAAGAAACAAGAACTAGAACCTTTCGTAAAAGTGAAAAATAAAAGAATTATATTCGAGAAATATAGATACTGAATTGCGCACGTTAAGCCGCCTTATCGACAGAAGCACGCGAGTTTTTATGGTAGCAATAAAGCTAAATAAGAAAGTGTCTTTTCTTCAGAAGCCTATGCGCTTCTGTTTACGTTTACTGAACCTCGAATTGCGGGTCAGGAAGCGGCTGAAGAGCGCAAATTAAATATTTTGTGGTGAAGTAGAAAATACTGTCTTTAAATTTCTCTCTGAGCCATTAGTCGAGTGACAAGTCTCGAAACAAAACTGTATGACTAGCGATTTGTTATTTTTGCATCTAAAATACCTTTTACGCATTCTTTACCTATATTTTAACCAGGGGTGCAACTCACTCAGGCCTTTTAAAAAACTAAACACATCTCTTGCAATATGCACAACATTTACGGAATGATACATCTATAAAATACTATGAAGGATTAGTTCTAATTCTTCATTGACAGAATTTTCAGAAATCATATTTTAACGATAGAAAAAATGCCTGTGGGGTTTTTAAGGGGTCTGACGTCTCTCGTCCTATGCAAGTAAAATTAAGTTTCCTGTACTGAAAAAAAAAAGTTCAATTAAGTTACTTGGGTAGCCTTCTTTTTCGCTCTCCAGCTTTATATTTTCGTTATCTTGACCGTAAATGGAGCTGTTCACTCGCAGGCTAAGCTGATTGCAACCACAAGAATGGGAATGGAAAAGGAAAATATTCTTGCATAAATAATATATCTTAGTTTTTGATAGGTAATTTTTGAAGGGGCCATTAACATGATGTCTATCTATAATTCATAACTACCTTAAAATTTCCAGCATAGCGAGGACAAAATTAAAAACTCTCTAACATAAAGCGAAGGGAGCGTTTGGTTTGAAAGACAATAAAAGATATATCGAAAGGGGTCAGAACTGGGTACGTTCCACAAATATTTTGAGATTTGCAAAGATTTATAATCCAAATAATCTATCACATCCTCACGATCAACAATTCAATGGTGTTGTCGTTGATGCCATTAAAAGTTGCGCCTTCTTGTTCGTTGGACCTTCTGAGGAATACCACAAAAGTTAAAACTCTAACTTCTCAATATGGCTATAGATAGGAAGTAATCTGAAGGCTCGACTTCGTAACTGAGAGGAAAGTAATATCAAAGATTTTTTAAGGCAGCTTGATGACCATAGAAGGCGTCCAACTCCCTCGGGGCAAATCTGGCAAGCCATTTTATACCAAAATGAAATAAGTGTTGCCTTATGTTTGCACCACCTTCCAGCATGTTAATGAACGATTTTCTCAAGCGCATATGTCATGAAATTTTTCATTCACAATATTTGGTGGCGTAAAATTAAGCATGAGTTCCAAAAGGATATGATTGCCGCTTTTCAATACGTAATTAAACAGCTCTAAGTGTGAATATTCACGTTTTTATTAATAATTTTTTTAATAATGTTCCTTTCCTGACGAAATCGTTGGTGGTTTTATAAAAACATTTATTTGAGACGCCTTAAAGTCTGTTGATTTTTTTTTCCTGATTAGTTTTTTTTTAAAATTTAGTTTGTTCCGAAGAGTGATTTATACACATGCAATATTTAGCGCTTGTAAAGTATTCAATATACTTAAAAGCCGTCATCCTCTGAAATATGGTTTCCCCTGATGAACGATTTACAAATAATGCTTAAGCTATCATGGTTTCCTTCTTCAAGCCTGGGTTCGATGTTTGGGGATGTTCTCCAATCTGCAATCTCATTCCCTCAGGGTATATCGTCTTCTATACTTGGACCCCTTGCAGACATTGCATAATTCAGGTTTGAATGGCGACAATTATAATAAACTTTTATTAATATTGCATGGTGTTCGCGTGCAGGATATGGATAATAAATTGGGCACATTTTATTTTTCAGCGCGATTCATCCGTAAATCGCAAACAATTAACGGAGGCAAAACTCAAAGAAAACATTTGAGGGGACACTTCTTATCTCAGAGCAAACATTTGAGGGTGAAATAACCTGAGCCGGCGAATTACGTCGTAGTCATTGGAGGTAAGGCAATGTTTTAGTATGTCTCCACCGAGCACTCACGCTCGTACAAGGTACTCATTCCAAAATAAACAAAACGATCGATACGCGTAACGACATTTTGTGACGAAATCGAAACCGTTGTCATTCGATGAGTTAACTGCGGATCAGTTTAGTCTTATGAGCAAACGGAAATTACTGGATACGGAAGTTTTAGCTGAACGTAGAAAATGAAAATCACAAGATGCTTGTTTTTCATAGCTTAATAGCTTGAGGTCGTAACTTTCGGCCAGCGTGAGTTCTTTTCACAATTCAGAAACTTTAATAAGCTAGATATAAAGGAGGAAAATTTTCCTAAAAATGTTCGTCAGTTTACTTTGGCATTTGTCAGCATTCAACTCTGAAGTTTTCCATAGTATTAAAAAAATTCCACTTTCACATCGTTATATTTCTCTTTTCCTTAGTTTGAGATTTATATATTCTTTACATAGATCCGGTCACCGTTACCAATCTATTGTTTCAGTTGATAATGCATATCGCAACGGGTTCTTAGTGTAGTAAAATCTATCCTTTTAATTTTTTCGCGATTTAAAATCGAAAGCTTAAATGATACACTGTACTGACAATTTCAAAATTTCAATCACTCAGCATGGCACGACGAAATAAGCTAAGCCAACCTTCTTTTAATTTTGAGTAAGCTAAAGAAAAAAATGAGCTTGACCTAATAAATTTTCCAAAAAAATCTGATTAACATAGTTGTTTGTGTTTGTGGGAACGAAGATGAATTTTTCTATAAAAAACAATTCAGAACTAGAACTATCTACGGCAAACATCGATATTTTGGCTTTAACAACTTGTGAAACCAAACAAACAATAAAAACCGCAACTATTAGTGTCAGCTATAGCTAAATTGTTCCTTCGAGTGTTCCTTCGGCCAGAGATGTCTTGAATAATAACTGAGGAAAATCATCATCTTAAAGGAATCCTGGTAAAAAAGCCCACGCTTTAGTGTTGGAAAGTAAAATATTAAAGATATTCTTCTGTTCGCAAGATTGTTTTACCCCGTATCATTCTAAACGTAACAAGAAGCAATATTGATGTTACCAAATCTGAGAGGTTTTTTTCTTGCGGTATGTCACGACTCAAAGGGCTTCTAGCAGCCACTAGACTCAATAATTCACTGTTGGCGTGGGTTTTTTTTTCACCTGAAGCCGAGTAATTAGTGAACTTTTTTCGAGTGGAGCTTTCTTTTTATGCAATTAAACTGTTAAGGTAGTGTGCTCTGCGGGGTTTCCGCTCCAAGTGCCCTAAAAACAAAAATTTTTCTCGTTCATTTGAATCCACATAAACGCCAATTCAAAATCTTTGAACGCTCGATTCCTATACTCATTCTCCTTTTCAATCCTTTTTAATTATGCAAGCATTTATTAAACCTTATTCTTGGAGTAACTCTTAAATTAATGAGGCTTCATCAAAATTTGACATCATATGAGACTTATGAGCTCCAAGTTCATGAATAATTAGGTATGTTCAATAATCGTTTCAATTAACAGGTCTTACATATATTCCAAGGCTTTCTATTTAAGTGTTCATAAACAACATTTTCATTTACGGAGCATTTAAAATCACGAAACCTCAAATACAAAAATAGGGTAAGTCTGTATACAAGACAGATCGATTAGCACAGTTAAAAAATTCAGATTATCCCGTTTCCAATTCCGTTACTCGATGGCAAGTTCTCCTCTTAAGGTTTTCGGTTCCTTCGAAAGTTCACAGGTACTCTTTTTCTTCCTGGATAGAGAGAAGCTCTGTGAGATTTTAGTGTCTTACCCAAAGATACAACACTTCGGCCTTCCTACGCTTTAAACCCAAACATTAGGATTAGGAGTCCTACGCACCAAACGTTAACTTAGAGCGTCTCCCACAGTGAAACACAAATATAAAAAGGCTCCAATTATTTTCGTATTCTTAAAGCAGAAACAAAATCAACAGAACGGCATAAAAGTATAATAAAATGATGTTGAAATCGGAATAGGAGACGCGTCGGCGCACTTGAGTCTTCGCCATAGTCATCGCGAAGACCTCTCGTACAATACACTTTAAACTTACAGCGCCTCTCTACAACTGCGAGTATAAATGATTAAACCAGAAAATCATTGGGAAACACTCACAGAATATTGGATTGGCATTCCATTAAGATGGAGTAGTGGTTATTTAAGTTGCTTCCTGCTAGGGAAGGAGGATAAGGCCCATTCTTTTCTTTTGTTAAATGTGTAGTCGTAGCTTAAAAGTTGAAAAACCCTGGTATACTGTGCCAGATGCATTTCTTCCAGTATATTTTATACAGGGCTTTTTGCGCCTAAAAATACAAATTGTGACTAAAATATGAATCGCTGGTGTTAAAACGAATCGTAAGTGCTGACTGGTAACTTGTTAGGAACTAACATCGCATCCAAGGGGAAGTAACTGCCTTCCTTGTACCTTCCCGTTATGGAGATTGGATAAGCTTTGCGGCGCCATGTGAGCCTCTTGGCTCGAACGCAGAGTTTTCTTTACTGGCATCAAATTGCAAATTTAAAACTACAGTCGTTAACGGTGTAGCTTTGATGACTCAGATTAAAACGCCAGCGATTTTTTTTAAACCAGCGATTTGATGTAAGCGCCAACGATTGAGATTTAACACTGGAAATTTATCATTTTGTATTGAAACGATTTGCTATTTAGCGATAAAAAAATTTTAACTCTGAGGGTTTGAACTATTTTCACTCTATATTTGTGAGCAGCAATAACGATTGATGCTTTACAGTAGCAATTTTCACTCAGCGAAATAACTCCCCACACTTTTCAAGATTGCGCTGTAACCATTAACCCCTAAAATCCTGAGATCCAATCAAAATTGAGATGCATTGGAGTTATAACGATAAAAAACCAATACTGGTAGTTACGTAGCAGTATCTTCTAAGAGAAGAAGACATTGAGAATTTGTTTTTTTTCCTGTTGCACAGGTTATCACTGCAACATGAAGCTGTCCTTCGTGGTAATTTCCGCCGCTCTTCTCGTGTCACAGTTTTTCCTCGCTCAAGGCCTCTTCCTTCCATGGTCGAAAATCAAGAATGACTCCACTGACGGCTTTCTCATTTCCATGAAACGACTTGACTTGAATAGGAAGAATGAAGGCAGCGACCTTGAAATGCTGAAGAATATAACCAGGCAGGTATCTTTGGACAACAGGTGTTTTAGAGATCCGGAAGGTCCAATATCCGTGGGGTTTCACAGCTATCATCCTTACGTCTCTTTTGCCGTGGGAGGTAAATCCCTCCACCTCCGTGGTATGTTCCCCTCTATACTAGCAGACACACTGGACTACTGCTGTCAGGGTGGGATGGACAAAGTAAAATTTGCCAAGATGTTAAAAACGCCGCTGGAGGCAGAGGATCGTTTCCTAAGCGATGACGTAAACGAATACGACTTTACCTTTCCAGTTCACGCGCCCGAGGGAACAAAGTCGTTTCGGGATCACCCTTTCATTCCGCTAGTGCACGTACCCAGTGTGGTGTTCCTGGCGTATGATGGGAATGAAAGAACCACTAAGACCCATGCCATTGCTGCGACCATTCTGAAGGCCTGGCCCATCATGGTGTTTATTCTTCTCACGGCTACTTTCTCTGGTATCATCATTTGGTTCTTGGTGAGCAATACACATGATATTTACCGGTCTGTTGACTGTAGATTTAGGGTGGTCCACCCCTCTCCCTTTGGGCGCCTTCTCAACCCTTTCTCCTCTGTATAAGTCAGTGAAAATAACTCAAGTTCACCTACTTGTGGAGTATCCAAGATATTCGATGAACTCCCAACTGAACTTAAAAATATAATTATCATCCAATTATTATTATCATTGCAAGAACTAGAGCTTTTGGATTCAACTCAAAGAGTTCTCTGACCCGGACTTCTCGGTAGATCAATCGGTATCGAATTGAAAAGAGGGACTCATATTTTACTCTGTTCCATGCTCGAAAGAATTATTTATCATTTTTTGTAAACATCTTTTACTTTTAAGGATCATCGCCAAAATCCGCAAGAATTCCCTCAGTCCTTTAGGAAAGGAGTCTGGGAAGGATTCTGGTGGGCATTGGTTACCATGACAACAGTCGGGTAGGTAACGCCTGTTCAATAATCTTTTGAGCAGTCTCGTGCTTTCTCTCAAGATGTAAGGCAATAATAATTTCAGGCACTTTTCTCAACAGCTACGGAGATCGTTCTCCCAAATCCCTTCTTGGCCGAGTGTTTTGCATTGTGTGGATAATCACCGGTCTTGTAATAATATCCATCTTTATTGCTATGGTAACAGCTTCGCTTGCAGCCACGACCCATCCTCACTTCCCCATCCATGGATCGCTGGTAAGTAAAGATTTGATCTGCTTTTTTTTTTTCTTTCTTTTAACTTCAACGACCTCGTCGTAAGGGCGCGTTTCCTTGCTTAATATGGGTGTGCGCGACGGCAGCGGAGGAGGTAAGAATCTTCCAGAATTATCCAGATATGGCCGACGCTTCAGCAGGGGCAAACCTATTCAAAAGGAACTATCCTGAGAGTGTTCCTCATAGGACTGCTTGTGAAGCGGCGATATAGTTTTTGATGATAACAACCCTAAAAGTGGCCACTATGTAGCTTCTCTCTATAATTTCCATACATTCTCCGGCAAACCAGTTATGAGAATATTCCAAATTATCAGGTAAAAGTTTTTCATCCTGATCTAACACCATAACTCGCAACTAATTTACAAGGAAATTACCAATCAGATCTTTGGAGTTAAGGGGTTAAAAATATTCGCTTGTCATCGGTTGAAATAATAAAATAATAGCGCGAGAAAATATTATTGATCACCTTTAAACTGCGTAGGTGAAACGACTGCGTTTAAATCATGATGCACACTCTTTTCACGTCAGTTGCAAATGACGTCTTAAAATACAGTTAAGCTTATACTTTACAGCTCTTGTTACTTTTGTTACGTTATTTTACAATCGCAGATTGGAGTCGTAAATGGCAGTGAGGAATACAAGCTGGGAGTTTTGATGAATGCAGAAATGAAGAGTAAGATATATATGTTATAGAGTTTCATTCACCCTTGAACCCGAAAGAGTGACCAGCACCTGATTTTTCCTTACAGCAATACTTGTGAATTATACAACAAGATCGGGAGGCTCGAACCGCGCATGTAGCGCGCACGCAGCCTCGTGTAACTAAGTAACACTCCGTTTTTAGGTTCAGCTTAATCTTAAATTTCATCTTGTATTGGTTGAAGTTTTCTGTTAACGATGGTCAAGTTTAACTATCTTTCGATCGATGATTGCTTCGGTGAGGCGTCATCTTCTTTTGCTATAAACACAAGAACCGTTCCAAACTTAAGAGAAAACAGCAATCTAAAATTAAAAACGTCACGATTTTCACGTGTTCTTTTCTATGAACAGTCTTTCCCACAATATATGGTGTAACGCACGCTTTAATCGAATCGAAAATTGACGGAGCATTCGTGGACAGCTTCACGATAACTGCGCACTTGGACTTTATTAAAAGCCATCCAATCAGGACTGAGCGAACGATTGAACATCCGGTGACGTATGGTATGGTTTTGGCGGGAAATTCAACGCGCATGGCAGATTGCGCTAGGCGTTATCTTGAAAACTACCCAAGAAAAGTTTTTCAGAGAATCGCTGATCACCTCAAGCCCTTGAAAGTAAGTGTTTTGTTCGTTTTTTGTTTGCTTGATGACTTGTTTTGACTTGTTTTGACAAGGGAATAATTGACTTGTTTACATGTTGACTTGTTTGCTTGATTGAACAAGGTTTTTAAATTACACGCTTTACTCAAGAGGGTAAAAATATCATGTGGTCCATTTTACTTGCTCCGGTTGGAATACTTATCTTTTGGTCTTTCCTCGGAGAAATTATCAACACCAAATAAACTACGTATACTATTGTGGATCATGGCGGCTGAAAAGTAATAAAAAGTTTTTTCATTTACATGTTTTTTTAGGAGAGAGAGATACCACTATGCACACCACTTTACGTTTTACAGTTCCTTGCTAAAAAAAAAATGGGCTGGGAAAAAGTTATGTCTCCATGCAGACGAACTCTAAAATTTCAAAAATAGTTTCGTCGCCAGAGTCCTGAAACTGGGAATGGCAACAGTCCCTGTTAAGGAATACCCTAACCCGGACGTTCACACCACATAATCATCTGTTACTCTTCAGTTCGAACCATTTAATCGTGCTTTGATTGTTTCCAGAATCCATCAGACTCGATCAGTGAAGAGGTGATGGCAGCTGAGAAGTTATTTTACGAAGAAGGTGCTTTCAAGCTGATTGTGTACTGCGGTGTCGCCATTCTGGGATTACTCTTTATCGCTGGGCTGCTGTACGAGGTTCTTGCTAAGAAATATCTGCAGCGTAAGTCGAGCTTAGCTATGTATATACTGATTTAATTAAAAAGGCTTGTAAGGTATGAACTCCTGTAACTATTTCCCTGAATAATCTCTCTTGACACTTCACTGTGAAATAACTAGATCAAGAACTCGAGATTTCTATTATATAATAGTTGACGAGGGAGAAGACCAAACTAGTCTTTACTCAAAGGAATCGAGAGCGAATAATTTGATTGTTTGAGAATAAGTCTACTAGATGTTCAATAATGCAGTCTCGTGTTCTTATTAAATCTTGTTTCCAAACGCACACAGTTAGGCCATTCACTCCAGCCATAATCACAGAATAGAAAGCGAGTAGTGTAGCCAATTGGATTGCAGCATTTGTTATATGAAGATATGTAGTTGCAGGTTTTAATACTTACCATTTTTTAGGGATAGTCCTCAAGAAACGCAAAATAGAACTCCCGCAATCTTTTAATCCTACAGGATGATGCATTGCTAAAAGATAGCATTGTTTTTTACTGCAGCGAAACGACTGAGAGAGGAGAACAACTACCAGAACGTTGAGTTGGTCAAGCAAACAAACCCGGCTGATGACCAGGCCTCCAACCCAACTGAGGGAGATCTGGAAGAACTTCTACAAGATTATAAGGCTTTCCACGACTCTTGGGTTGCAAAGTGTAAAAGGCTTCATGGGAAACCATATGGCTGTTAAATCCAGCAGATTGTCCCGTTTAAACACAGGACAATTATTGTCTTAAGAACATTCTTTGTTTTATAGTTTATTAAGGTGTAATTATTACTAAGGTGTATCACTGAAATTGAGTCGGTGTTTTATTGACTCAGCCCCCTCAGTAGTTTCGGTAGTTTCAGTCAAAAGTCACATGGTAGTGCAAAGCAAATCAGACTCCTCACGGTCAGTTACATGGAGTAAGATTCGGGTACGAGATCAGCACGTCATCTGAAGACCATTACTTGGGATGCAAGGGGAAAACATGGTAACTCTTTTTCAAGTGCAGTTTGCTCTGGAATATCTTAGAAAATCGCACTATTCTCACAGACAGGAAAATGTGCCGGATAATCATCTTTTTAGAACCACTAAAACAACAAATTAAGGTTTAATAGTTAACAGAAGCTGTGTCACAAGGACGGGAATAAGGGAAGCGTGTTTACATCCGTGTTACCACCAAATTCAGACCATTATTAAGATCATTCGTTTGGAAGGTTTGCAAATGTACAGTTTTTTACACTCAGTTGAGTGCACGGGGCAATGAATAAACAAGATATTTTTTGCCTTCCAAATAAGTCATCACATGATTCAGATTGAGTGGCAACAAGGTTGTAAGCAGGTCACCCAAATCCGTCTGTTTCCTTTTAACACTACAGTAACGGCTTTGTGTTATTTCGGCTTCTCGTTGGAGTAGAGCCAGGCTCAGAAAAATTTTACATCTTTTTCCGGTTTTTATGAGCTAGCCCAGTGGCACCCAGCTAACATAGTGTATGTCCAAAGATGCGAAAGTTCTTTTGATATGATGAGGAAAAAATTTGCCTTCTACCCACGACATACTATCATATTGAAATAAGACCTGAAATCCAAAGCAAGAGTAACTAGAATCAAGTCGCTAAGCCATTGAGTTAAAACGGCTAATATCGGAATGGACAAAAGAGCTTAGACTTCACCTCATTCGATAAGTTACACAAAATACTGCACTTTTTATCGTTCTACCGCTATGATAATCCACAAGCTGAAGGCATATAGTTTCAAGCCTTTTCAAACTAAGCTATCGTATCATTATACTGGTAGAAATTAAGCAAGATCTCTTATACTGATTTAACTCAAAATGTTTCTTTTTTTCCAAGGATTTACTGCGATAGGGAACGACCGGTTTTTCATCGATCATAGTAAATTAGTTATCCTCTTTATGTTGTAAGGAGATAAGGACGTGTTGGTCATTCATGGTTTTCTGTGAGAAAGCTCCACCTTTTACCCCTACCCTGTTAACATCCGGGAAGTGTTGCTGTATCCTTGGGGTAAACTTGCTTTTTTGTGGCCTCAAAATGCATCAAAGATACACCTTGTGCCTCGGGTGTGGGGTCTTGGTTGGGTTGCCGTGGGTTGCACCACTTGGAGCGATACTAACCAAATATCATGGAAAACTATAACTTAAGATAAAAGATTTGAAAAAATAATGGTGCTGTTGAAGTTTTTGCTTTACAAATATTAAGGAAAAGTTAAATCAGAATGTCGCCCACAAAACTCAGTACTTGACCTCTGGGAAACTGTAACAGAACCTTTCCTAATAAATTAAAGCCCAATTTTACTCCTAGTCCAAACCATTTTAACTTTGCCTGGAACAACCACGATGACACGGATGACATTCCACTTCCTGAGGAAAATACCAAACCCGGTCTGACGAACACGATATTGTCAGACTACCGACCTCTAACGAGGAACTTACGAACACATAATCGTCCTTTTACCGACCTCACACGAGAATCAGACGATCAGCGACCTCTCGCGAAGTTCTGACGAACGTAATGCCGTCCAATTACCGAAATCAAAGATGTTCCCTACAACAGTATTCGCTTACAAAAACAAGAAAAAAAAATTTTTATTGAATAACCTTGAAACGAGACCTAACTCTAACTTTAAACAATTTTCAAATAGGTATTCAATGTTACTTGGTGTTATGTACATGCCCTTCGCAGGAGCATTAAAAAAATCCTTCAATAGAAGAAATAACACTTCGCTTGTGCTGCGGAAACATTCTTGAACTAAGTCCTGAACCCTTCGGTCCTATTGGTCATACAGGTTATACAACGAGACTCTGAGATTTACTCCAAGTTCCAAGTGTCCCTTGTAATTACTTAAGTTTTGATTACATACAGCTTAATCGAAAAGTACAGCCTTCATTGAATGCGGCTGACCCTTTAAATATTGATAACTTCGAGTTATCATGGACAGCACATTTATGAAACAACGTTTCAGGAACACGCTTTCATAATTATTCTACTGGGACAGCGAAAACTGTACAGATTAACGCAGATGCAAAGAGTGTTATTAGAGCACCTAACTGCCCTCCTTTCAGCTTTCAATAAGATCCTACACCCCACACAGGTTAGTCAGGTAAAGGGGAGGGGAGGTTTTAATACATACTCGTTTGGGCGTGTGTGGTTCCTTTTCAAAACCGATAACCCACATAAGGTAAATCAAAATGTTCGTATTGACTTGAACCTTTTCTTCAACTTTTTCTTTTTAAGTTCAAACTTAAGGTTTCACCTAAAAAACAATACTTCATGCTAATTATTATACTTTAACCCTATGCAAAAATTAAATCATCTGCCACAGTAAATTTTCCAATTCCTACAATTCGGATTAATTGTTACTACAACTAAAGGTTGTGCATATTGTAACGTAAAGATTTAAATAAAGTGGTCAAATTAGTCATCTTAATTTGAAACAGGATCGAGGAAGAACACAAACATCACCTCTAAAAAAGATAAATTACCCTCTTAACTCCAAAAGAGATCGACAAGTAGCTTCCCCTCACAATTTTACGTACATCATCCAGCCCAAAGGTAATGAGAAGACACAAAACCATCAGCTGGAGGGTGCAATCTTGGTATAAAATGAAATTCACCAAACTGATCCACAAAGAAATGTAATGGGGCCTTGGAGAAAATTACTTGGTAGGTTCTGGGAGTTTAGGGGTTAAAGCAGTACGGTTTTACACAGCGACTTTTTCATCATCTCCGTTGGGAGTGCGACCGTTGGCATTTCGATCAGCGGCAAATTCTTGATCGCGAAGCTTCTTCAATCCTTCAATTAAGCGGTCATGAAACACTTGGTATTCGGCTATCATCATATCCAAGGTGGCATGTTTAGAGTTGTCGCGAGGGTGAAGTTTAACTTCGTCCTCGCTGACTGAGTAAGAACCCTTAGGAGCAAACTGCATACGCTGATTTCCTGAAGGAAGAAAAATGTTTGTTGACTATCAAATATTCCCAATTAATTGCTTCATCAAGATTCATCACGGGCTGTTAAGAAGATGAAGAGTTAACTTGTGTAACACTTCATTTACAACAATAACGACGACGACGACGGTGAAAGCTTACAACGAAAGTTGAAATACAACAACATCACTAATATCAAGTTTCAACCAAAATAAACTAAATTAGAACAGATGCTACAACAGCTTTCTTTATGATTTTAAGGATGAATTTTATGGCAAAGACAAACGACAAAAATGAACTCTGATTTTTTCATTTTTCCCATATTCCTTATATCAGCCTTAACAAAACTAGAAAAAAACTCTTCTTCATATCTATAGCGAATATTTTAACTAGAGTGTGAGCACAGCCGAAAGCAGACGGTAAAAGAAGTTCCAATTTGAATTTGCCGTTAACTCCAAACTAAACTACAAAAATCTACAACTTCAATGGCGATCATCAATGACAGAAGGTCGAACAGTGCGAAACTCTTAGCGTGGCACCCCTTTCTACGACGAAGTTGATTTAAATAAGAGTACTTTAGTCTTCAAGCGTTTAAAAGGAAGCTGTCCTGCTTATATGTACGATCTACTCAAATTTAACGCCGACCTACACACACGAACTGGTCGTTATAGTAAATTTCATCGGGCCTGCCCTTTTGTCAATCGCGAAACCGAGGGAGAGAGGACCTTTAGCGTACTTGCGACAAGATTGTGGAACTAACCACCCATTAACCTAAAGAAAGAAGCGACAAAAGTTGCGTCTTTCAGAAAGCCCTTTCACAGACATTTTTCAACGAGCTATGATGAGGTAGAACATTTCAGTCCGAATGCGATTTAACCTGGCCCAACTATTATTAATTTTTATCTAGTTTTTAGCTTAAATTTCAATATAACTGTCGATCAGTTTTATACGAATACATTTTAATTCTACTTATAGTACTTTTAGAATCGGGGGCCACTAGTTCATCAGTTGAATTATTGTTGTGTGTTACCCTCCTTAAATATAGTTGTTGTTTTTTTTTTTTTTGCCTGGAGAACATGTAAGTCGACATAAATAAGAAATTCTTTTCAGTAGTAAATGTTACCAACAAATCTGGATGAAACGCAAAGATAAACATTGACTGATTACATCAATAAGAATAACATTCAAATATTAGTACACCTGTGAGGGAAATAACTCAGAAATGCTTACTTATTTTCGGTCTGCGATACAAGAATTCCCAAGAGAAGCCAGCAATAAAGAACACAGCGGCGACACCAAGTCCGATGTACATGACGAGAGAAAAGACATCTTCTTGATAAAACAAACCTTCTGCAGCTTTAAGCTGCTGGTTTTCGTCATCAGTCGGATTCTATTAGAATAAATGCAAAAGAAACTCATGTTATTTCCACGTAGCTCGATAACTTGAGTCTTCAGTGAGAGGAACTTAGAACTACATGTAAAATCATAAATGATTTTCAATTTATATGCCCTGCATTTTGTTTGATTGTTTTTTTTTTGTTTGGTTTGATTTTTTGTGGCGCTTACGTGGTGCCTTTTGGTTTCTTTTCACATGAGCTCTTTAAGAGTCTTTAAAATGACCCCCACTCAAATTTCCGTTTCGTTTCTATCTTGTTCAACCGGATGGAAAAAATTCGATGACTTCATAAATCTCATAGTGCCAGTGAAATCTAGCGAACACTGGCTTGACACAAGAATTACAAGATTAAGAAAATTGAAAAGAAACAAAAATTGCTGTTAACGCTTACCTTGAGTGGCACCAAATTATCTGCAATGATTTCAAATATCTCCTGTGGGTGATTCTGTAGGAAGCTTCGAACACATTTCTCAAACCTTGAAGAATTCTTAGGTAACACCACTCCATAGGTGATTGAGTGATCGATGTACCTCTCGATTCTGATTGGTTCTTTTTGAATCAGGTTCAACGAATGGGTGAGGACGTAGTTATCCACTAGAGCACCGTCAATTTCGTGTGCCAAGAGAGCTTCCGTCATTTTCATCACGTGAGGGAAAACTAAGGTGGTAGAAAATTGACCACTAAATGATACATATACCTTATTCGATGGTTTACTATGTAATACGCACTGATATTTCGCAATGGGCAAAATGTCCGGGTCTGGAAATTGAAACTCGGAATGCCCTAATATTCGTAACAGCGGAAAAATGAAGCACAATATTTTGCAGGAGCGCATTTCTATTGAATGTTGCAAAACCAGAACCGAAGTAATAAAAACAGCCAATCAGAGCGAAGGAAAAAATCACAAGGATAATGATGAAAAGTATACACAAGCAAACTGCCTAAAGCGCTATTAGACGCGAGTGAACAAGTGTTAGTTTTCGATCTTAACCTGGTTGGGAGGATCATGCAAGTTTTCTGGACCAATCACATAGCGACGTAAAGCAAAACCAAAGCAATCAGAGATTTTTTTTTGACGCTCAATGGCAAATTGCTCTTCACAAAAAATAGGATTAGAATCATGAAGTAGAATAAGACTGTGAACAGGATAAAGAGGGATTTTATTCATATGTCGCGAACTTAGGGCGAAAAAAATACGGCCCTCGACCAGTCTCCTTGCCCCTTCCCCCGCGAGGACGTCGCGTTGGTAAGTAC